GCTGTGTGTACATTAATGAGGAAAAAAAATTAACGTAAATGATTTTAGCAAATGGCTGCAATATAACAAAGAGTGAAAAATTTAAGGGGGTCTGAATACTTTCCGTACCCACTGTATATAAACTAATAATACTTTTATGATTCATTATATTAGATGTATATTTAATTATAATTATTGTAATTACTAATACAATATTTCAAAGTTATATTGTTTATTTATACTTACATTTTAAATACAAATTTGACTTATACCACCTAAATATACATTTTTAGGAAAGGTTAGCATTAATTGATTTTGCACAAGCAGTTTTTGCTCATGTGTGAATTATTTAAAATGTATTTATTTCTCTTTAGCTGTTCCATATTTTAAATACAACATTTAAAAGTTAAACTATATTTTAGGTTCAAAAAATGGTTACAATTAGTGCTGGATATACTGTTATGCATTTGATAAATCTGATTTAACCTCAACTTAATCTTATTTTAATGATCACTTAAAAAGCAAAGATGCAAAGTTATTTTCATAGATTTGTATTATTATAATATGCATCGAAGTGATGACAGCCTAATTATCAAATGAGTATGAATGTTGGTGTAGAACTAACTGATCAGCTCTGTACCTTTAACCTGCGTAGGACGGAGGACACTCGTCTCTGCAGGTTATCCCAGCGCTGGTTGGCATTGTGGGCCATTTCTCGCAGACTACAGGCCGCGTCAGTGCGATTCTCACGTGCCAGTCGCTGATACTGTTTATTGATCAGCTCCAGCTGTGTCAAACTTTCATGCACCTGCCGCTGGAACGTCTAAAACAACCACAAGAGTGTTAATATCATAAATCTGTTCATCAATACTACATTCATTCAATCTGGATGAATCTCACCTCAAATTTCTTGAGCTCCTCTTTGGCAACAGTGTAAAGGACACCTGAAGAGTTTGGCAGCGCGGCTGTCTTCTCCGACAACATGAGCCACTCCTCAAAATGTGAGAAGTCATCGAGAAACTTCTGCCAGAGACGCCACGTCTCCTCAATCCTTTCAAACGAGCAAAGTTTAGGTTTAAATTTGTCATTTAGCACATGCACATCACAAAGGTATATTTAGCATTGTTATATTAACTTAAACTAAAACTTTAAACATTAAAAATTAATGAATTAATTGAAAATAAAACTGCAATAAAGCTGAAATAGATCAAATGAAATGAAATGAAATAAAATGAAATGAAATAAAATTAGAAATGTTGGTTTGGTATCTTACTGAAATAAAAAAGTTGAAGTCGAAGTAGTAAAATTACTAAAACTAAAACTGATATTAAAATAAGTCAAAGCTAAATATAAATACAAAAAAATTACAAAAGCACATAGCAAAATGACAAACTAGAACTACAATTTAAATAAAAATTATACTATAAAAACTATAAACTAATAACACCAACTTTCAGAAAGTTATATTTCCATACTACTCATACTATATTCTACAGTATGAAATATGTATCCTGTGCACAGTATGCATATTTTAAGCACCAGTAGATAAAATCCCCAGGATGACCTGGTGCACTTGTCAAAATGTGCAGTATACAAGTCAGCACACTGTATCCCACAATGCAATGCACTCAACTTGACCTTCCTATCCAGTTTGAGAGTGAAAATCAGACTAGTTTTCAGGTTAACTATATTACAAGATACACATTTTACACAAAAAAGCAAAATAACTGGTTACTGAACACACAATAAAATAGGTATTATATAGTAATAGTGCGTATCACGGGTCATACCTGAGTCTCCTCTCCATGGACATGGCACAGATGCTCCTCCAGCGGCGGTCCAGGCTGCGTGTGGCCTGTTGGATGGAGTCACACTCGGCGTCCGTAGCGCACGCGTCACAGTCGTGCAGCAAAACCTCACACAGGTTCAGCACTGACGCCACACCTGTGCTGTGCTTCTCGATGTCTCTCTGCAGCTCCTGAACCAAGAACAAAAAGAATGTTTTATCTGAATGAAACAAACTAAATGCTTTTTGAACGCAGTGTGTATATATGTACCTGCTGTAGATCTAGTTTCCTCTGGATCTCCTGGTAGTCGCAAGTGTCGTAGACGATGGGACGGGACAGTTCGGTCTCGATGTGGGCGAGCCAAGAGCGCAGACTATTCATGTTCTTATCCAACTGCTGAACGGCCACTAAAGTCTCCCGCAGCTTCTTCACCCTGAATAAACACAGATCTCATGAAGTAGGTATTACATTTTTACAATTGAGAGACTCATGAAGTAGGGAGAGGTAATGTAATCTCAACACAAGGCAGATTCAAATCTCAATCATTTTAAATGAAGTTTGAGCAAATATTATGTAAATTAGTGCTGACAATGCCAACCACACTGCGCAGTGTGTGTGTTACAGTACCTGGCCCCAATGAGGTCGAGCAGGTGCTGCCAGCGTTCGTTGACTTTACTGAGTTTGTGTTCGATGTCAGAGGCTTTGCTCTCATGACTGGCCCGAGCTAAACGTTCACCCAGCTGCTGGAGCTCGTGTTTATTCTCCTGAACCACCGCCACCTCTTCCTGATAGTCCTGAGAGACACGGACAAGTTACTAAAAGTTGCTTCTCAAACACCTCTCAGAAAAATGGGGTAACCATGGAAACCACGGTTTCCGCCAAATTACCATATGAGCTACAGTTGTTGTTAATACTATACAGCTTGGTATTAGGCAACACTGTCTAAAAAAAACTATAAAACAGAATAATGTAAAATAAAATGAAATATTATTATACTATTTATTATAAAAAATTATATATAATCTAAAACACATAACAAATTTTATATATATATATATATATATATATATATAAAATCATGCATTATATTACATTATATATCATATTAAAATATATATAAAATACGTAAAAAAAATCAATATCTAAAATAAAATAAATTTGATATTATATTGCATATGTAATTATATAATTTCTTATAAATAATTGAAAATATATATAAATATAATACAATATAAAATATAATTTCACATATTATAATTCTATAATTTTATACTATATACAGTATATATATATATAGTATTATATTAAATTCTAGAATATATATATATATATATATATATATAATATATTTTGTTTGTATTTCATACATACATACGTACATACGTACATATATATATATATATATATATATATATATATATATATATATATATATATATATATATATATATATATGTATGTATGTATGTATGTATGTATGAAATACAAACAAAATATATGTAACAAAAAAATGTAATATTTGATTGTTACCTTTCGTAGTTTCTCAATCATCTCTTCGATGCTGATGTCTCCATTCTGGGATACTTTGCTTTCCATTTGCGTCAGCCATTCACACAGCTCCTTATATTTATCATTGAAGATGGCCCATTCATTCAGCTTCTCACTCACCTGCTGCCTGCGCAGACACAACTGCACAGACAGATACACACAAACATACGCCTTTAGTTATTTCAAATATGGTTGAGCATTTAAGCTAAATCTAAGTAGATTAAATTAAATATTTAGCCACAACGTCTCTCTGTATCTTTATAATATGCAAAATTAAAAGATAAATAAACACAAGTAGTGCCCAAAACTACTTTGAAGAAAAACAGAAATCAGACCATAAGGGCAAAGAAGTATGCTTACCAGAGCATCATTAAAAATACAGCAAGAGTGAAGAGTTTCTGACAGCCTGTACCTAGAGTTAAATCTTTCTACTGAAATATCTAATGTACTCTTACATCCTGTGGTGTCTCAGCTCACGCACCGGATGCCGCAGAAGACAGAGGGTGCATAAAAATCTTCCTTGCTTTGCATTCAAGTTTCACTTTGAGCTAAAAACTGGTGCTTTGCATTACTCTACTAGCAAAACTGAATTGCACAGCTAATGTTTCCTATATTTAATTACAAGAACAGTTTTTGAAGACTGTCTGTGGATGTCTCTTAAAACCCAATGAGCTTCCTATGGAGCCCAGATAGCACTCGTATGAATATCTTGAAATGTTTAGAAAGAGTTTGTGCCAACAATGCAGGCATATGTAGTAAAACAGCACCACCTAATGGCCACACAACTGTGTTCCTGTGTACCTGGTGACAGATCTCCTCCCACTGGCGGTGCAGGAGCTCAATCCGTTCCTGCAGCACGCGCAGATCCTCAGGACTGATGTAACTGGACAGAGACTCTCTCAACACCGTCAGATGGGTCAAATCCTCCTTCCAGCCGTCAAACATGCTCTCCAGATCCTGCAGGAAATGGGTGCTTATTATTTCTCATGATTTCATTGGTATTCAGGTGCCCGCACTGATTCTGAACTTTGCATACCTTGCAGCGCATTTGTTCAGACTGCAGCTCCTCATGGCGATCTGGAAGCGGCTGGGACAGCTGGCGTTTAAAAGCTCTCAGTTTCTCCAGAGATCCTCCGATACCTTTTTCACATCTCTCCCAATCCTACACACAGTTTGAAAGAAGTCAAAGTGGTTTCTGAGACCAACACATTCTAAACAATTACAGTATCATGCCGCGCTCTATCATCTGAAAACACCTTTTAAATTAAATGAATGTAGTGATGTAGACAAACTCGTGCAGACATTCGTTTGAGAGCAAAATAAAAAAATGGAATAATGTGGAACTACTAGAAAGCAATATTTGACAGAATCAGGGCGACAGACACAAACTTGAACAGTACAATTATCTTTACAATAATCTAAAACACCCTAATTTATATATATATATATTTTAACTAATAATAGTGATAAAGTAGTCAGTGTCATTTTAGTATCGAGATACTATTAGTTTTTTTATATATATATATATATATATATATATTTTACATTTGTTTTTATTTTTATATTTTCTGAATTCATTTGAATTTTCATTTTACATTTTTAGTAATTTTTTCATGTTTTTGCCATTTTTATTATTATTTAAAAAATATGTCAGTATAGTTTATTATTATTTTTTATTTCAGTTTTATACTAAACTAAGAATAAATCTAAGATTTTTATATATTATTTTATTTCAGGTTAATTTATGTTTTCAGTTTTAGTTTACTATAATTACCCCAATAATGGTATTTAAGTGCTATTTTAATAGTATTATTTAATATTATTATTAACTAATATTTATATGTGTATTTTTATTTATAATATAATTTATGATATTGATATTTACATCATCATTATAATTATATTTAGTCACTGTATATGTAAACACAAACAATAACAAAAAACATTGGGTGCAAGAACTTATAGGAACACTATTTTATAAATAGTGTTCCAACATCCTTTGTCTAATAAATTAAATACCAAGGATTTTTACTACAGAAAATACTTTTTTAAGATTTAATTAATTTCCATTATTTTTTTATGACAATTAAAAATATTTAAAACTTAACTAAAATTAATTAATTATTTTTATTAATTAAAATGAATAAATAACTAAAAAAATTAAAACCAGAGATGCCTAGTTTTTCATGCTCGAGGGATGAATGACTCAATTTTTATTTTTTAAAGAAAATAATCACTAAATTGACTCCAGACATGTAGCAATAAAGACTGCAAATGAAGTAAGCAGGTGGCGCTGTGACATAGAGAACTCTACCCTGAGCAGAACGGCAAGCTCTTTCTTTTGTTCCTCCAGGCGGATGTTGGCGTGTCTCCAGCGCTCCTGTATGTCGAGCAGCTCCTCTTGTAGAGCCGCTTCGGCCCGTGTGTCAGCAGACAGAAGCAGCTGTCTCCCTGCCTCCACCGTCAGGATGTAACTGCCCTGCTGCCTCAGCAGAACCTTCTCCCTCAGCTGCAGGAACAACCGAGCGTCAGCAGGGGGCGCTAACCACCAGCACAAAAGCATATTTAGGTCGAAGGATACTCACCTGAACTGCATCCAGCATGGCTCGTGCCTGTTGCAGTGGCACAGGTGTGCCCGCCAGCAGGGTTTCTGCCTGATGGGACACTTCCACCAACCACTTCCTCAGCTTCTCCACCATCTTCCTGTAGCGCTGCCACTGCCGCAGGAGACTGTCTATGATGCCCCTGCGCTGCTGTGCCCGTCTCACCACCCCCTGCCACTGGTTACTGAGCAGAGCCAGCTTCAGCTTGAACTCATCTCTGGAAACACAGTCAGGTTCAAATTTAAGCATTCAGTCTGTTCAGGTATCTTGAATGCTGGTATCTTGCATATGCATATATCTGATGATGATGATGCTGATGATGATGATGTCGCTCACCTGTCGTCCACCTGTCCCTGCTCCAGCATGCGTTGTCCATCGCTGATGATGGAGTGAAGGATCTGCTGTCTGCTGAACATCTCTGCCTGAAACAGCTGTAACATTGCTCATTTATTTGCATCTAGGCAAGTTCTGCAAATCATAATCAGCACCTAATTTGCTTTTGTATGTCTCACCTCATGAGCTCTCTGCTGTTCCATCAGGCTCTGGAAGTTTCCGGAAATCTCCACGGTCAGTTTCTCCTCCGTCTGCACCAGGAATTCCATCCACGTCTCACACTTCTCCAGAAACGTCTGCTGCTGTAGTAGCAGGGCCTGAAGTTTGCTGAGAAGAGAATTTAGACATCCTTTAGAAGCTGAACACACTTGACAATATCTACTGTAGTACTACTATATATTTCCATGAAGCTCTTTACAAAGCCCACAAAGAGCCATGCAGAGTATTTAAGAACGATATAATCCTTCTTCATATTGAGTTGGAGCAAACCTGAATCTCTCAGTGGTCTGAGCTGAGGTGGTGGAGCAGCTTCTGTTGAGGTTCTGCAAGCGTTTGATCTCAGAGTCGTTGAGAGGGAGTCTGTAACCCAGTTCATTCAGCCTCTCCAGATCAGGAGCCATACTGCTGAACTTCAGCATTTGTTTCTGCGCAAAAAAACAAACAAAAACACTGTTACAAGAACATTGGTGATCAATTAATATATTGGCCAAGTCATTTTAAGTGACAATGCACATTTACGATTTTTAGATTTTGTTATTTTGAGTCTATCTGAAGTACATTATGATAAAAAAAAGATAAATAAATAAAGTGAATCAAATGAAAGCTGCTTTAATTTTTTCTTATACAATTTATGTATATGTAAAACAATTCTGTACAAAAATAATAATGTAATAAATAAGATACAATTAACATAAATGGAAACATAAATTCAATCAACTGTGTCCAATATATTTGACTTACAGTGTACATATCGGCCACCCTGATCCTGGGTTATTTTGGTATTATTTATATACTACTATAGTATTTATTATTAATATTTTGAATTAGCTTTGATTTTTAGATTTTCTAATTTTAATTTTAGCTTAATTTTTAGTAATTTTGTTATGTGCGTGAATGATTTTTATTTAACTGAATTTTTTATTTTTATTACAGATTTATTTCAAGGTTATTTTGGTATTATTTATATACTACTTTAGTATTTATTAATATTTTGAATTAGCTTTTATTTTTAGATTTTCAGATTTAAATTTTTTGTAATTTTGTTATGTGCTTTAATGATTTTAATTAATTTTCTATGTAAGGTTTAATTTGAGTTATTTTCATATTTCAGCTCAAAATTATTTAATTTCAGCAAGTTGCCAAGGCAACATTAAAAAATTTTTTTTTTTAATTTTCATCTAATATTTATATTTTATTTCAGCTTTATTTCAATTAACGAAAAAATAAATGAATTAGTTTTAGTAAACAATAACAACACTGATCTGATTTTTCCAGCCATCCCAGCATAATTGACCCATTCAGGCTTGTATACCTTGAGTTCCTCCATGCGGTCCTGGATGAGTGACTGGTCAGAGGAACCGTTGGGATCCTGGCCTTTCAGAATCTCCTCAGCTTCCACGATCCAGCGGGACAGAGAGTCCAACTGCTCATTAAATGTCTCATAGTCCCGAACTCCAGCCTGGGGAGAAAAAAACCCTCAGTACCAAACACTTAAACACTCTCATACAGCACTGAATGCTCTTCTTCACTCACCTGCAGCGCCACCTGCTGTCGGCTCAGGCTCTGCTCTACAGCACTGAGGCGCTGGGTGAGAGACAGGTGGTCAGACTGGATGGAGGCCGCAGCTGATGTGTCCACCTGCTGTTTGAGCTGCTCTCCCAGCTCCAGTAAAACCTGCAGAGACGCCTGGACGGGAGCCTGAGAGCGCAGCAGCTCCTGAGGGAACATGGGACGAGAGTAAATGCAACTTGAATGAGATGAAAATGAATCTACATTCCTAACGTGGCTGATTATGAAATTTAAAAAAAATTACATAAGTAGTTGCTGTTGAGAATTTATGATTAGTGAACACTTAGGATCCACAAACGATTTAAAAACGATTCACAAACCTTTTCTGTATTCTACAGGGTTTACAGTGGTAGATTTAGAGCTATAAATCTTAAATGTCTAGATATTCTTAATGCTTCATAAACGTATCTATAATGCCTTATACTACACATTATAATTAATTATATTGTTTCATACACAACTATAACCACAGCTCATTTAAAATCTAATCTAAAAATATAAATTCATTAAAAAATCATTTTAAATGAATTAAATGCATTTACAACTCAGACAGAGATGACCATGATTCTGCATTTTTAATAAGGGCTAATATGAAATATAAAAATTTAGAGAAGTAGTGGCTGTTCAGAATTCATGATTAGTGCATTAGTAGAATAGACAAACACTTATTTATGAGAGCATATTATACAATTGATTTTAAGTAAAAAATATTTAAAAAAAGAATTTAAATTAATTTAAATTACTGTAAATGATTATAATACATTAAAAACAATTTGATGTGGGTATTAATGATACATCGGACTAACCAGACAATATATCTGATAAAAGGAGTAATTGATAACTTGTAAGATTGCAAATATTGTCAAGTTCACTTGTGAAAATTAAATTTTGTTGCTACAGTACATAATAATAATTGTTATGAAAGTGAATAAAGAACATGGAAACCATAATATAATGAGGTCTCATCAGCACTAACTAACAAAATAACAAGGAACAATATAATTTTGGAGCATTTATTAATGTTTGTTAAAGTTAGTGTTCATGTTAGTGCATTAACTAATGTTAACAGATCCAACTTTTGATCTTAAAAATGTAGCAGTAAATGTTGAGACTTAATTAAGATTAATACATGCTGTAGAAGTATTGTTCATTCTTAGTTTATGTTAGCTAATGTTAACAAATTAAATCTTAATGTAAAGTTTTACCACATAATCATATACACATGCACACACACGCATGCACAATCGCACGCGTGTGCGCACACACACACACACACACACAGAGTTGCACTCACAGCACAGTCTTGGATCCAGGTGGACACTTCCTCCTCTGTGATGTCTTTGTGGCTGGCTGTCTTGAGCATCTGGTTTGCTCTCTCCTCTAGTGTCTGGATGCTGGAGTCACTCTGTCCATAAAGATCTTTATAGCTCTGCCACAGCTGCAGGAGTGCCTTGCTGCTCTTCAGACGCTCCACAATCTCCTCCTGCAGACTGTTCCACCTGAATACCACAAAACACACACACTTCCATTCCATTAAGTGAAATGACATTTGGCCAAGCATGGTGACCCATACTTGGAATTAGTGCTCTGCATTTAACCCATCCAAAGTGCACACACACAGCAGTGAACACAGATCGGCTGAATGGATTCGAAAATGGTAAAACTCAACTGTTTAACTCTAGGGGAGTTGGAAAATGAGCCTATTTTCAAAAATAGTGGAGTGTTCCTTTAAGTTAGAACTATATCCAATTATATACAAACATTTACAAAAAAGTACTGTGACAGTATCATGGTACACTCTATATGTACACACACACACACACACATACATATATATACTGTATATATATATATATATGAAGAGTTAATTTGCAAAAACCGATAAACGTCACTTTCAGAAAAAATTCGCTGATTGCCGTGCATTATTCTCCACATATAGCGCGATCTGAACCCTAAACAAGTTTTGTCAAAAAAGCAGTTTTTGTCCACTTTCAAGGCATCGCGAGTTCACGTTTTACCGCAGAAGCCGACAAACACCCTTGTTGTTTTTGAACAGAAGCCGATAAATCCATTTTAGCGAATCAGCGTGCTGTATTCAGGTCAGGTGACAAGGCTACTTTCACTTTGAAAAGACGTGCTAGCTGAGAGGAGTTTCGTCAAAGTTGACTAAAAGTGATCGAGGATGGCTAATTTCAACGAACTTGATGAACCTTTGATATACTGTATTTGTTTAAGTTATTATTACTTAATCAAAACAACCCAACTGCAGTTTGATTGATATTATTGATTGATATTAATGCGCAATAAAAAAACGTGATTTCGAGTGCCTTCTTTCTTTGCGTGAACATTTGGGTGGCGTTATGCAAATCTTCCCACATCGTGACGTAGATATGTGGGGGCGTGTTAGAACGAGCCGTTTTAGGTAGGTGTGGCTGACTCTGAACTTTTATAAAGAATATCTCTTTGGATTTGAGACTTTAGTCTTTGGAACTTTACAGATCTTCTTTATGCACCAAGAGCTTGTAACACTCCAAAGAGAAAGGAAAAATGTTAATCACATCATATGACCCCTTTAAATCGTAAATTTCTTAAAAGTATATAACGTATGTAAAAAGCACAGAATGAAATTATCTACCAAAAGTCTGAATAGAGTTTGAAAAGTGTGCTGCAGCTGAAGTCTCACCCTCTCTGTGATACGTGTCTGCAGTATCTGCCAGTGGCAGTTCATGGCGCCAAGTTTCTCCGCAAAATCTGTTTTATCGCTGCGTTTGCTCTCTACGTCTGCACCACTGATCTGGAGCACTGATTGATTCACAAAGTCCACAGTGAGCTGTTTGCAATTCACATCCACTCTGAAGCCCTACAGGAAGTAAAGGACAACAACATGGAGAAAACAGTTCTCAATTATACACATAAAAATACTTGTGTTGCTAGACTTCTGATGAAAGCCATAAAATCCAATCCTACCACCAGATTAATGTGGAAAAGGATTGCCCTCTTAAATATGATAGGCCTTTTGTAGACTCTAACAGGTGTAAACCGGGTAAATGAAGTCACCTTGTATCGCTGCAGGTACTCCTGGATGACCTTTGACCCAACAGCCCCTTTGAGATTCTCCTCATCCTTTTCTATCACTCTCTCCATCAATGAAATCCAGTTCACAAGCTCAGCGATAGCGTGACGGGATGCTAGCTTATCCATCTGAGACTAAAAATAAATAAATCAATTATATTCAAAAGATGAAGGAACTAAGAACCCCATAAATTAAACTAATCCTATTTGTTGGAGCAGAAAGGTCTGTTTAGTGAGTGTAAGTGCTGGTCAGTACCTGGTGGAGTTTCTCTTGAACTACGGGAATGCGGGCGAGCAGTTCGGACCACTGAGAGTCCAGACGGGCGAGTTCAGACCGCAGGGACGCGGTGTCCATCTTCTTGAGTCTGAGCAGCTGGTTTCCCTCGTTCAGTACAGAGGCCTTCAGACTGGAGCGGGTCTCCACCTCCTTACTGAACTCCTGCACAGAAGAAAAGACAGCACATGAAATAACCTGGATCTTGTGCTTTCTGGTATTACTTCTTTATAGACATGCAAATATATAAATAATTATACAAATAATAATCGTTTAATTATTCATAATCATTAATTAAAGCTTCTTTTGAAAATATTTTCATTGACAAAAACATCCAACTGTGAATATCAATTATTATATAATAACAATTATATTATATTACAAAAAAAAGAAGAAATACAATAAAAACATGTTTAAAAACGTAATAAATAAAATAAATATGATCCGAGACACTGGGATAGGCTCCAGCAATAATAATAAAAAATTATTACAAATAAAATAAAATAAAATAAAAATTCTAATAAAATTTAAAATAAAATAAAATTATTCAATTTTGTTCACTAGCAAAGCTTGGACCAGTATGGTCTTTCTGGTGAAACTGGTTGACTAAATGCACCAACATCCCAAACACACCCCATGCCTGTGATTTCTTGCACTGAACCAGTCTAACTAACCAGAAAAGCTGATAACTGGTCTTTAACGGTCTCCAGTTCCTGAGGACCAGCAACAAACTGTGTGTTCCAGAAGTCCAAGCGTTCCAGAGCTTCCTGTAGCCAGCGACTCAATTCAACAGACTCACGCTTATACCTATGACAAACAACATGCACATATAATAATAAATATAAAATATAACAATTAAACAACAGACATGAAATTCAGTTAAAAAAATCCCCTGACCTTGTTGAGTGCTTCAGGATGGATTCCAGGTTCTGTAGCTCTTTGTTGATCTTGGTGGAGTTGTTGAGCCAGTGCTCGCCCAAAAGAGTGAGCTGGTTCTCCAAGCTGGAGCAGCTCACACATGACAGAAGATGCTTCCCTTCCTCCAGCACCTGATGCAGCTTGTGTTGGTGCTCCGTCAGACTGGCTTTAAGGGCCTAACGTGACGATAATGGAAGGTCAATTTGGGAATCTGGTATAATTAGATTATCTATCCTAATAACAGATCACACCCATATTGGCAAGTTACTGTAGACTACGTTACAACTAATCCTAACAAGGCATGACGGCTGAAGATTTATGATTTCACTATGTACCTGATAGAGCTCTATTCTTTCATTCAGTCTCTCCTCTGACTCCTCCACCAGGCCGATGCTCGGCAGACTTCCCTCCACATCCTCTAGCAATCGGTACAAGTTCTGATAGTCTGAAACTAGACGACTCCACGTCTGATAAAGGCACAAAAACATACAAATACATATGTGAGTATGTAAGAAACTATTTCATACTTTGAAATATTACTACCATTTAAAAGTTTAGGATTGTTAGGATTATTGAATAGTTTTGAAAGTCTCTTATGCTCACCAAAGCTGCATTTATTTGATCAAAAATGCAGTAAAAAAACAGTAATATTATGAAATATTATTAACATAAAAAAAAAGTATTTGTATATGTTGTAAAATGAAACATTTATTATTATTATCAATGCTGAAAACAGTTGTACTACTTAATATTTTTGTGAAAACCGTGATACATTTTTTCCCAGGATTTTTTGAAAGTTCAAATGAAAAGTTCAAATTCATTTGAAATAGAAATCTTTCCAGTCACTTATGACTTCTTCCAAAGTCCAAGCTTTTGAACAATTGTACAGTATATATTCATAATACTTCATAAAAATCATGTTACCTCTGAGATGCACTCCAGCTCAACTCCTTTTTTGTGCGCTTGCTTAAGCACATCCTGAGCCCGGGCTAGTGTCTCCTCCAGAGTCTGACGCTCACGTGGCAAAACAAAGGCACTGATTTTTTTGTAGAATGTCTCGGTGAGGACCATGTGCCACTCCAAACCTTGGAAAAATTCCTGGAAAATAAACATTTGGGGACACATAAGCATATGAGGGACATGCACAACCTTCTAAATAAACACAAGATGTATTTGGGAGTTTTGTATACCTTGTGTTTGTCTAGAAGGTTGTGCACATCCTCTACTGAGCTGGCGATCATCTTCTGGTCAGCGTTCATCTTATCCTGGGCCGTGTCCACCAGATCAATTAGATCCTGCAGAACTCGTTCATACTGATTCTTCAGTGACATGTTCTGGTTCAGCCCGCTCCGTCGAGAGCCCACAGTCATCACTAGTTCCTCATAAGCATCCTGTCCAGCACACACGGACAACTTTGAGAAGACTCGGGTATTTCATTTCTAAGCCTCTATAACTTGGGACTACTTGGTGCGCTTCTGTTTTTATAGTAACTGATAACACAAAATGTTGATGCCACTGACTGGTTGTTACCTGTAGCTTCAGCAGCTCATTGGTGGAGAACTGGTCCGGCTGTAGCTCCGCCCCTCTGGCTTTCAGCTCTGTTATTCTGTGCTCAAAGTCTTTCAGCATCTCCTCTGCCTCTGCAATAGTCTGTCAGAACAAAAGTGAGTTCACAGCGATATGATTGGATGAAGTGTAAACAGTTTTATTGTTAACTAAAACTAAAACTATAAAACTAATAATAAATTAAGCAAAAAAAGTGTAATGTAAACATTTAAAAAACTAAAACTAATAAAAATGACAAAACAACATGACAAAATGCTTAAAAACTTTAAATTAAAATGAAAAATTTAAATATTAAAAAATAATAATACTATAATAATATATGAATAAAACAAACACTGGCATACTACTGCAATCATTGTTAATAAATATGACAACATCTAATAATGAAATACAATTTGTAATCGCAGTGCATTAATTAATAATCAAGAAGTATTCTTTCTTACTTCAATCTGTTTAGTTGTTGTGTGGTCAAGAACTCCTGCCACTTTCTGGATAATCTGGAACTTGCTTTCACTAAGCGCTGTAAAGAGATGGTGCAGCTCCGTCTGAAAACAAACAGGAACTGAGATGATGTTGCAGGGTTGCATTAATGTACAGAACTGAACGGTGCCCATTAAGCCTGATTCCCACCTGGAAAGCTGTGAGCTCCCGCATTCTGCTCCTCATGGTGTCACAGCGGCGGTCCAGTGCTGAGTCCAGAGCTCCCAGGCGTCGAGTCAGACAGTCGAGGGTGTCCTTCATCAGCATCTGCTCTTCCTCAGATAGTCCCACAGAGCCGCCTATCAGCCCCTCGCTGTGGCTGACCTGCCTCGTCACCTCCGTCACTTCTTTTCCCAATGTCTGCGAAGCAAGGAAGCGTTTGACCATTTTAACTTCACTAAAACTTAAGATTTATATATATATATACACTTATGCATTATCAGATGCTTTTATCCAATAGAGAAGCATAAGCAATTCATCACTGTGCCAACAACATTCATGGTATACTATACAATGCCACCTTGTGAAGTAACACGACGCCGCTTGATATTGGTATTCAAATGTGAGTGAGTGTGACATGTGGCCAAGTATGGTGACCCATACTAGGAATTAGTGCTCTGCGTTTAACCCATCCTATGTGCACATACACACACACACACACACCGTGAACACACACCCTGAGCAGTGGGCAGACATTTATGCTCCGGCGCCCGGGGAACAGGCGGGGGTTCGGTGCCTTGCTCAAGGGCACCTCAGTCGTGGTGAAGGTGGAAGAGAGCGCTGTACAATTACAATTCCTGCCGGACTTGAGACTCGAACTCGCAACCCGATCTATCTGTAGTTTTAATTTTTACTATTAGCAATTTAGCAGTGTTATTATTGTTAACTAAAACAATAATAAAAAAAATCTGTAATTAAAATGAAATATAAATATTATAAAATATAAATAAATAAATAAAAACTTAAACGTGAAAAACTTAAAAATTAGAAATGTTGTCTTGGCAAGTCAAATTAATACAACAAAAAATTAAATTAAATTAAATTAGTGCCATATAGAAATATTAAGCAAAATTACTAAAACTAAAATTAAAATATACAAATAAAGCTAATGCAAAATATTCATAAATACAGTAATAGTATATAAATAATACTTAAACAACACTGACTATTAGGAATGCTCAAGTACTTGCACATTTATATAAACAGATGGGAAGCAGTGGCCTAAAAATTGTCTCTAATTAAAATTACTAATTTAATTATATTACAAATGTTCTAAAAATAACTAGAAATTATACTAAAAATACTAAAAACGGTCTAATATTTTTTATATATATTGGTACTAACATTATAATAATTAATCATTTTAAGAATTTAAAATATATTTTAAAAAGCAATAATAATTTAATGCAATTTTAATATTCCATGTAATTTTCTGTCCAGAATAAATATATGTAAGGATACATATATATTTTTAAAAAATCATGTAAAGACTACTGGGATGCATTTCTATTTATATGTCAGATACCAACTGATTCTAAAGTATTATATACTTAAGTGTGCAAATGTCTCTAACATGGAAAAAAAAAACATCCAATGAGGGTGGGCGAATAGGTTTGGCTTTCTCCTGGAGGAAGGCTAATGTCTGTCTCATAGGAATCAGTTACAGATCCGATAAATGTTCAGACCTCATGGTTGGAGAGCTGCGTCTCAGCGTTCTCCGTCAGCAGCGCAGGGCCAGAAAACAGTGTGTTCTCCACATGACAATCTGGCGCTTCTGAATCAGCTACTGTTTTGTTATTAGTTTAAGTATTTGCTATTGACTGTTCAAATGCAGAGTTTTGCGCATCGTGTGTGTGTGTGTGTGTGTGTGTGTGTGTGTGTGTGTGCACGAGAGAAAGAGAGAGAGAGAGAGAGAGAGCGCGAGAGATCGAGGGAGGGAGTGAGAGAGAGAGAGAGAGAGAGAGAGACAGGGTCACATCACAGTGGAGTCAGCTGTCTTAACCGTGGCTTGTGTACTGCAAACACATACCAGCTTCATCACTGTGTCTGTCACGCGACTCTGTTCCCCTTTCGGGCTCTGTCTTTACATTTATTTTGAAAGATGAAGCTCGTGATTATGGTAAGGGGCGTTACATTTCCGATGAGTGCTTGCAGTGTTCGGCCAATCACAATGCACTGGGTCAGCTGGCCAATCAGAGCAGACTGCGCTTGTCAAAGGAGGGACTTTGTAGAAAACGAAGTGTTTGAGAGAGGCGGGGCATAGAGGACCTACAATAATGTACAGTATTTGAAAAATAATGTGTTTTTTTAACATTAAAGCATGTCAACATATCCTGTTACACCAAATACACAAAATAATGATATTTAAAAAAGCATCATATGACCCCTTTAAATTTCATCAATAAATTCAAATAGTAAGATACTATAGGGATGTTACCAAGCAAATGAAATCAGTATCAACAACATTTCTATTTGCAATGCAGATGTGGCACAGAATCTGCATCTGAAGTGGCATTTAGATGCATTTACACAGACTGTTTAATGCAGGACATGAATGCAGTTAACCTGCCGGTACAAAAGCATAAATAATGTTATAATATATATCGCAAACCCCTAGAGTCAGAGATTTTAGTCTGAGGTAAAAATTATATACCTGTGAGATGTGAGAGAAATGTTACCTGGCTCTGACGGGTGACGCCTGCTGGGTGAGTATTTCCTCTCCACGACTCGCTACAGATTTCAACAGCTTCTTCTGCTCTGCAAGTTGCTCTTCAAGCTCCTGAATTAACCCAAAATATTGTCATTCCTCATTTAAACAGATGCTTTCTTATTGAATGCAACTTACAGTAGACTTACCACAGGTTCAGTCCCACTGGAGGACACAATGGTGATAGTTCTAGATCCATTATTTTGTTTTTTAAAACCCCAAAACTACCTTCTTGTAAAATGTGATCTACCTTCTGTTTCTGGAGGGTGTCCTGGTGCTGTAGGCTGCGTGTGGAGCGGGCCTGGGCCAGCCAGTCCTGCATGTTTGGACTCTGGGAGAGACTGGAGTCTGATTCACTGGAGTCTGATGGCTCCTTAAGGGAATCCTGCAGGAGAGGGAGAATGCAAACATTAGTACTTACAGTGGATTAAAATTTTGGTTATCATTCTGCAATATTCTTATGAATAATAGCAGGAAAAGAGGAAGCCATGCAGGAGATTGTCATATTCAGACCGAACCCAGTGCTGCTGAATTATTCTGCACATAGAGTGACAAGCAAAATACTGTAGCTGTGATATATTATTATTACGCTCGCTCTTTGAGGGCCTTTCAACTCCTCCCAAATTAAAGTAGCCTGCAGGACATAAAAGACAAAATGTTCAGAGAATAAGAGAATCTCACAAAAAACATGTTTTGGTCAAATTTCACCCCAAAAGAAAAAAAGAATAATTTATATTTTATTTTATTATATTTTATTTTAATAGAACTTATTGTTTTATATTATGTTTATATATTTATTATTTTATGTATATTTTATATTTATTTATGTATATTAGGTTTATATATATATATTGTATATATATATATTATATATTGTTTTGCATTGTTTGCACTTAATAAATTATGGCTTTATTGTTTTTTTAATTGCTTTTATTTGTTTTTATTGCCTTCATGTTTAATTTTTATATTTTTATTAAAAAGATACTACATAAAATGCATTATTATTATTATTATTATTATCATCATGAACAATGATAATACCATGTTTTTTGGGCATCGTAATTTTTTTTCATTCTTGGAGAACCATCTAATGCAATGATATATGGCAGGGGGGGGGGACGGTGGTTCTGGGGAAGACAAAATGTTCAGAGAATAAGAGAATCTCACAAAAAACATGTTTTGGTCAAATTTCACCCCAAAAGAAAAAAAGAATAATTTATATTTTATTTTATTATATTTTATTTTAATAGAACTTATTGTTTTATATTATGTTTATATATTTATTATTTTATGTATATTTTATATTTATTTATGTATATTAGGTTTATATATATATATTGTATATATATATATTATATATTGTTTTGCATTGTTTGCACTTAATAAATTATGGCTTTATTGTTTTTTTAATTGCTTTTATTTGTTTTTATTGCCTTCATGTTTAATTTTTATATTTTTATTAAAAAGATACTACATAAAATGCATTATTATTATTGTTATCATCATGAACAATGATAATACCATGTTTTTTGGGCATCGTAATTTTTTTTCATTCTTGGAGAACCATCTAATGCAATGATATATGTCAGGGGTGGCGAACGTTGGTCCTGGAGAGCCGCAGCCCTGCATAGTTTTGCTTCAACCCTAATCAAACACACCTGAACAAGCTAATCAAGGTCTGAACGGTTACTAGGAAGCTACAGGCAGGTGAGTTTTAATTAGGGTTGGAGCTGAACTCTGCAGTGCTGCGGCTCTCCAGGACCGGAGTTCGCCACCGCTGATGTATGGTATATACATAAGTTAATTATTCAGTGTCATGACATACAGTATATCAAAGTATAATAGTATGAACACCTGTAAGTCGCTTTGGATTCAGAGTTCAAGCCCCACCTGAATGTTGATCTGCTTGTCCTGCAGCATCCTCTGCAGCTCTAGCAGGCTGCCTTTCAGCGTACGCAACTTCCTGGCCAGCTGCTCTGCGTCTTCCCTGTTCTCCGGCCGGCCTTCCAGCAGAAGATTCTCACTGTGTCTGGAGAGCTCGGAGAGAGCCAGCACCTTCTCCTCGATCTCCAGCAGCATGTTCTGCAGGAGCAACAGAAGCGAGGCCAGCTCAAACATGGTTCTTCCACTGTCATCCCAGGCCCTTACCAACACCTACAGCGCTGTACATTATCCGTAATCCCTCACGTGCCATGCTCCCAGTAAGCATGCATTCTTTAGGATAACAGGAATGTATAAAAGAACTTGAAAATATATCCAAAAATCAAAAAGACTATGCATATGCTTCTAATAAAAAGTCAAGGTGTTTCACAGTGGGACATCTGACAGTTTGTAACCTTCTCATGAAGGCAAAAGTAGCCCCGCCTCTTTCCCCACCAATACTGCAGCCACCCTCATGAATATGTAATAGGAGGCAGAGCAGATTTCCAGTGAGCACCAATCCTCTCTCAGGAATACTCTAATACCCTTAAAGCCATTATAACTGTGAACGGTGTTACGCTGAGACATTTACATAATCTGATTACAGCTCGTGCCACAGACGCTTAAGAATCAATCCATCTGAACGCTCAGACGCCTTCTAATACTGCTGTTTACGGTTAACAAAGTTTCCTGTTCCTGAGTCCAGTGGAATTCAGCAAAAACTCAATCATTTAAAAACACACAGCAGGCATAAGTTTCAGGAGTTAACACAAAATAATACATTTTCTTTTGTACTTCAATCTGTAAATAATTAATAAAGTACTGTACACATTTAGTGATCTGCTGTAGGGGGCGCTCTAACCTGGCAGTCTCTGAGTTGCTCTTCCATGTCTGAGTCTTGAGAGCAGGAAGTGATGTTACCGCGAATGCTCTGCAGCCATTGGTCCAGCTGGTCTGCCTGGTTCAGGTAGCGCTGTAAAGCCTGCGCCTCTTGCTGCTTTTCCACACGTTCACTCTGTCGCTCCTACACACATCAGCATATATACATATATACTGGGTATCTTTAAAGAACAGAAGCCTTTAACAGGCAATAAAAAGAGTGAAAAAATCAGTACACCATAACTTTCTGAAGAAACAAATATATACTGTATATAAAAAAAAAACAGAAAAAAAGATTATTGAAATACTGATCATAATTGTTAGTGAATATCCATCTTTCTGTTATTATGGATATTTTAAGATTTTTTATTATATTTTTTAAATAAATTAATGCTTTCCTACAGCAAGGACACATTAAATTGATCAAAAGTGACAGTGAAGACAGTTATAATGTTACAAAAGATTCCAATTTCAAATAAATGCTGTTCTTTTGAACTTTCAGTTCATCAAATAATCCAGAAAAAAACGTATTATGATTTCCACAAAAATATTAAGCAGCACAACAGTTTTGAATAATGATAATAAGATTTTTTTTTTTTGAGCAGTAAATCAGCATATTGTAATGATTTCTGAAGGATCATGTGACATTAAAGACTGGAGTAATGATGCTGAAAATTCAGCTTTGCATCACAAGAATAAATTACATTTTACAATGTATTCAGATAGAAAACTGTTATTTTAAATTGTAATAATATTTCACAATATTACTTTATTTTTTCACAACATGTTTGCAAAAAACTGAGCACTAATTAAGTATGAAGGGTGTTCTAAAAATAAGTTAAATTATTATTCCTGGCATACCTCAAGAAGTTGGCGTTTTCCAGAAGCCTTCATGTGGATGGTGGTCATCCTCTCGGTCAGCACTGTGAGTGTGGACTGCATGGCCAGCTGATCCGCAGAGTCCGAGTCCACCGCATCAGAGATCAGCTCTTCTGTGAAGCTGGACTGAAGATCATCTATATCATTCTGCAGTTTTACAATTTCCTCCATCTGATTCTGGAGGAATATGGCAGTATGAGGTTTGGTTGTGCATCAGTAATCTTATACATTTCTTACAGTTTAGAGCTAGAGCAAAAACAATGAAGAAGCTCCTTTAGTATTTCAATCTTCTCACCTGATGTAGGACCATTTGTCTGTCGGGACTGAGATCGTGCATAGGGGGCTCATTTAATCTGGTCTCGATAGACTCCATCTTAGTAGAGATGGACTGTAGAGAGCCCTGATAGCGCTGCTGCTTCTCCAGAGCCTCATAGAGCGTCTTCTGCTTTTCACTTATCTGTAAAACATGAAGATAAACTTGAAGACCAGATTTGAAATCCTGGTGCATTTGACTGTTGAACACAAAAAGTCATACGTACCACACTTTTGAGGGTCTCCCACGAGCGCTGAAGATCATCTAAGCTCGCTACAGACTCCAGCGCGGGATTGTACAGCTCCTGGATGGGCGCTCTGGTGAGAGTGGCTCTTCCCATGGACATCTACATTTAGGACAGTCAAGAGAAAACCATGCAAGATTAAATATATAATGTTAATACACTACAAAGTCATTGCACTGCAGTCTGTCACAGACTTAACATGTACTGATTCAGGTTAAAATTAAGGGTACTATATGTGACCCTGGACCACAAAACCAGTCTTAAGTCGCTTGGTTATATTTGTAGCAATAGCCAAAAATACATTGTATGGGTCAAAATTATAGATTTTTCTTTTATGCCAAAATCAGTAGAATATTAAGTAAAGATCATATTCCATGAAGATATTTTGTAAATTTCCTACTGTGAATATATCAAAACTTAATTTTTGATTAGTAATATGCATTGCTAAGAACTTCATTTGGACAACTTTAAAGATGATTTTCTCAGTATTTAGATTTTTTTGCACCCTCAGATTCCAGATATTCAAATAGTTGTCTCTCGGTCAAATATTATCCTATCCTAACAAACCATACATCAATGGAAAGCTCATTTATTCAGAATGATAATTAATAAAAAATTAAAAAATTGATCCTTATGACTGGTTTTGTGGTCCAGGGTCACATATGTTCAGAATGACGCATTATACCCACTATTACACCCGATTATAGTTTTTATTAATATTTTGAATCAGTTTGTATTTTTTTAAATGTTAGTTTTTATATTTTCCATTTTCATTTTATTTCAGTTTTTCGTTTTAGTAATGTTGATGTGCATTTCTATCATTTTAGTCTTTTTTCATGTCTCTATGGTTTTTATGAATTATTGTAACCATATACTGTACAAGCCATATAAATATTAGATGAAAATTAAATGAGAAATTAAATTAGAAATGGTGTTAACTGAAATAAGCTGAAGTTCTAAAATGAAATAAAAATAAATTAAAACTATATAAATATTTAAAATGATGGAATTAGATTTTATTTTTGTGAGGGACAAATAAACCAGTATAAATACGAGCATGTGATTCATTATTTGAATGGACTGGACAAAGATAAGACATTTTTACACAACAACTGACAATGTAGCACATTACTATACAAAACATTATTGCATATTGTTTCATATACTATTTCCACAAATAGAATGCAGTATACAGTATAAACTGCGCAGTAGACAGTATGTTGAGTTTCCTTAACCAGTGTAACTGGTAATTGCAAAAGGGCAGCACAGGCTAAAAGTCTGCTAGAAATCAGATTGCTTTGACATTCCTGCTAATACCTTGCTAATGGCTGCTTCAGGGTTAGTGATAGGAGAGGGAGATCGACAGAAAGCAGGAGAGCAGATCTCACTGCTGGTGCCCTCCTCGCCTGACTCCTCTGTCACAGGAGACAGGAGAGACTGACAGCGACTAGCCGACATCTGACAGCATCACAAGAATGAGAGAGTCACGGAGCAGAAGATATTAGTCGATCAGTTCACAAAGCTGTTAATCAAGTTATTTGATTTTGACATGCAAGGATCGCAGAGAGATACGTTAAGTAAAAAACGCTGTTCAGGTAAGAGGGTCAGTTTTTCATCAACACAATGCAAATTGATTTCTTATTCTGCATTTTCCGATTCATAATTTTCTTAATAAGTACTTTTGTTTTGTTTTCATGCAAAATATTTAAATATTTAAAACTAAATTTGGATTCATCTGAAAACCCTTTTGAAGGGTAACAAGTCTTAATATCTTATGCCATTTACTTGTCAAGTAAATTGATCCTTATTTAAGGATGATTATATATTTTTAATACAAGCCAATTAAAAACATGATTACAAATCATGTTTTGAAGTGCAGAGTTATTTAGAATATATGAACAAACAGCAATTGCTTTTTAAAATATTTAACACTCCAGTCTGTTTCCTTTTCCCTCAATTACACTGTCATGCCCACGTTCAGGGTAATGGTACGTACTGAGACTTGTGATTGGGTATTTCTTTTAATAGCATCACCGTCCAGTTCCTCCAGACTCTCGGTTAAACCCTCTGCATCACTCACTGTCAGGAGTGTGGTGGCGTGTTTAGCTTTCACCGTCAGCATCTTACACTTGGAGTTCAGGGATGCAATTTGCTCCTGGTAGCCCTTGATTTTCTGGGCCAGTTCCTGTTTAGATAAAAACAAACACAGAATATGACAGATGTTATTTAGCTACCCTTTAGGTTAATGCAAGAAACATGAAAAATCAGTCTGGCTAAACACAAACAGTAGACATTGAAACACAAAAACAAGATTAGCGGACAGTGTGGCATCTCTCAGCTGAATATCCATCTCACCTCATCAATGTTGTAATTTTGACCTAAAACGAAAACTATTCAATTTTTAAATTGTTTTTTAATTCATTATTTTTATTAATATTTAAAAAAATTAATTTTTAAAATCAATAACATTTATTCAAAATATTAATAAATACAATAATAGTATATAAATAATACAAAAATAACACTGCACCTCATGATGGTTAATTTGTGTCTGCAGCTCTTGAATGTTACTGGTGTTCACAGGTTGGTACTGAATGACCCGGTGAGCATCTTCAATCATGGCCTGCAGGTTTTTGACTTCCTGTTCATACTGTTCATACTGCACCACTGCCTCCTAAAACAGATATAACACACATATGCGCACGTTTATTTTTATATCACAAAGAATACATTAATTATAAACTTTAAAAGTACTCTTAAAGTACACATGCAAAGTTATTCATACTTTAAAAATAACCCTCTGAATATATCTCTAATTTATAATCCTTTCTGACCGATCATAAAACAAACACAACATTTGTTCCTAATAAGCTATAAGCACTAGGGCTGTCAAAATGACTGAAAAACTTTTTACAATTTTCTACTTAAATATTATCAAAATTCTAATTATATTCTAATTTAAAATGCATAATTTCAGTTTGGGGGAAAAAAGCTTTTGGCTTCTCTCCTGAGGCCACAAGAGGGCGCATCGAGCAAAATATTATGCACGTTTCTTCAAAGCGTAATAAAATAACATGACTATCTTTGAAAAAAACGTAGACATTTTTTTTAAAAGTTGAACTTGCATTAATTTTACATGGCTTTCTAAACATGCCGTTCTGCGAGACGCGAGTGCAACGCTGATCGATGTCACTCTAGAAAATGTGATAAATATGCGTTCTGTGTGAACGGCTTGGTTTCAGTTTAGACGTAAACAACATCTTATCCGCACTGATGCTCTCGTTTCCTGTAATATATGAATGAACAACGTAGCAGTGTCACATCTAGTGGGTTCAACTGGATAGGCTAACAAAAGCATTCAAATGCAATCAATGACACATACATCGTCATCGCATCTCGTGCGCCACATAAGGCTGCCTGACGGCTGACGTAGACCTTAAATTCGAATGCAAAATTTTAATATTCGAAATTCTGAAAACATTTTGACAGCCCTAATAAGCACGCAACACATGATTCAGGAAGATTCAGAAATGTACTGGATTTGGTGCTGGAATCGAGACCAGCTGGTAAGCAGGTGTTTTTATTCCCATCTGGTGCCGCAACAGCTCCTCCTACCTGTAGGATGTTGCATTGCTGGATGGCGGTGTGCTGCAGTTGACTGGCCTCTTGTTGCAGATTCAGAGCAGTGCGGCAGATGGACAGACTGGTCACCACTTCCTCAGGAACTCTTAGAGCGCTCTGACAGTCCTGTACGGCCTCCACCTGCTGCTTGAAGCACTCCATGTCCGCCAGCAAACGCTGAAAAAGATCAAAATCTATTCTAAGAACAAAACTACTTCCCTTCAACACTAAAGTATATGTAGCAAAAACAGGTTAATGGAAAGCACTTAGTAATTCACCTGAAGAACCTTTCTGTTACCAGGTCCAGATATTTAACCAGCCACTACACTACAGCCACAGACTTATTTACTTAGAAGAGTATACTTTATTATGTTTACTTTATGCATACTTGAAAGGAATAGTTCACCAAAAAATGAAACTTTGCTGAAAATTTCTCCAAATCTGTTTCCAGTGAAGAAGCAAACTTTTTGGAGGGTGTCTTAAAGAGGAAAATAAATACTTCTTGAGAACCAAGACAGATTAATGTACCTGTCTTTGAGTCAGTTGTTCTTTTAGACTCAGTCGGGACAGTTCTGGAGATGTAAGAGTGGCTTGAACCTGCTCCAGAGACACATGCAGGGACTTCACTTCAGTCTCAAACCTCTCCATATCCTGAAACAAAATAGAAAGGCAGTCGTATTTAGCTAGAGAAAAAGTCTCCAGTGTAGTTAAGAGAATAAAACATCAAAAAAACCTCACACCTTTGCTGCGTCCTGTAGACTCTGCAGTCGTAATCTGATGCTCTGCTCCAGCTCCTCAGTGTGCCGGCTCAGTTCTGACACCTGCTGTCCCATTGCCTCCACCTGCAGCGTCTCAGACAGTATCTCCACCTTCTCCTGCATGGCCCTCAGGTCACCATGGAGCTCACGTGACTCACGTAGAACAGACTGCAGGGCCAAAAACACAGATAGGTGATTTCACAAAAATAATTGAAGTTGGACTCTATGCTATTTGTGTATTCTGTGTATTGTGGTTCACCTGATACATCCTGATCTGCTCTTGCAGGTGTGAGGAGGAGTTCCAGATGATGTTGGCCTTCACCAGGCTCCTGGCTCTGTCTGTCCACTTCACTATGAACTCAAACATCTCGCTGTATTCATCTAGATGTGCATCAGCCTTGAGAGACAAGACATACCACATGACATTCATTATATGAAAAGCTCTAATTGAAAGGTAATAAATGATCAAATAGCTTGTAGGAAATTGGTTCGATTTGACTAAGATTGTGTCTTTTTTCTATTAGCAGAATGTTCTTTTTGTCTTTAATCGATTAGTAGAATATAACAGATCTTCTTGCCTTCTTTAGCCATATTGTCTTATATTCGGCCAGTCGAAGAGTGTGATGATGGATCTCTCGTAGTTTGGCAATAGCATCAGCCAGCTGTCTAGCTATCAGAGGGTTACGGCGACCAAAGTCCTGCACTGCTGCTTCTAGCTCAGCGAGATTTCGTCCACAGCCGTCAAGTTCATCACAGAGATGCTAGAAATACAGTCCAAGTACTTTATGATCATTCAAAAGAGGTAAATTTGTTTATAAAAAAACACCAGAAATATTATCAATTAAAAAGATTATTCGGATGCAACACTAACTCTGGCCTCATCTTTGGCCTGATCAATATCAGTGGCCTTTTCCTTTAGAGACGTAGAAACAGCCTTCAATTTTTCGGACACGTCATGAATTCTGGAGTTGAACTCCTCTTTAATAACTCTGGTCTTCTGGATGTCTCTCTCCTTGGCTTGAACCTAAAGATACGATTCATTATTTATATCTTACATGAAGCTTTAGTAAAATTGTTGTTGAAAACATATGTCTTCTACGAATTAATAAAAAACTGCCTATTAATCCACAATGAAAACAAAAGGGTAATTATGTACCTGGTCCTCAATGGATCCCAGTGCCAGGGACACTTCTGCCAGTTGCATTGAGATCTCAGATGGTAAAATAGTGTACAGGTCCAAGTATTTACTTTGCTGCTGTTCTGCAAGCTTGTCTACATTCTGACGATGAGTAATCAGCTCTCCATGCATCACCTGCACAATGATACAATTCAATTAAGGCAAATTCATAGTACCATTCTATTTACTTACTGTACACAATATGCAAACCATCTATATGCATGCAATACCAGGATGACACACTATGTTTGCTAAAATGTGCAGTATACAAGCAAGATATACTGCGCTGGCTACTGCATCCCACATTGCAATGTGCTCAGCTTTATTTCAAATCATCTAAATAAACATGCACTATAGTGAAAACAGTGTTGCATACTAAAGTTTATAACATATATTGCCAGATGCAGCATACTATTTCAGGTATTATTTTTCACCTCGAGTTCTTGAGTCAGAATGTCCAGATCAGATGTGGGGTTCAGCAGAAGCTCCCTGGAGTCCTGGATCCAGCTCTTGACAAGACTCAGTCCTCTCTCCACGCCTTCCCTGTCCGACAGTTCCTGCTGAACCCGAGTCTTTCCTGTCCTGGCCTTCTGCAGAAGACTACAAGAGACACGGAATAAACAGATTAGCATTCAGTCCATATTTGGCATCAGTCTAATTAGGCCAATATGGGAAGCAAGACTACACTGACATTAAACAGGTTGGTATTCAGTCTTTACTTTTCGCGCTAGCTACAAATGCACTGGTTACTGTAGGCAGCTGAATGACAACTAATATTACAGTGTATCGGTGATCATACTGATACAGTGTTTCTTTAAGGTCTGTAAAAACATGGTGCCATTTTCTATGACAAGTATTAAACAGCACTGTATTTTGGTGGATTTCATTATTATTGTTTTGTATTGGATTGGAGGAAGACTGTGTACCTTTCTAGCTGATCTTGCACAGCTTTGACCTCCCTCAGACAAGGCAATTTTTCATGATCAGCCGCTGGCACAGACACCTCCACACCATGTAGCAGGCTGAGAGCATACTGTCGTAGTAGAGTTAGAGAAGACAGCTCCCTCTCCAGGTCCTGACTAACCAGCTCGTACTGGTCCAGATTCGACTGCAGTGTGGCTTTGGAGGCTTTCTCAGCAGTGCAATCAGGAACGCGGCCCTTTAGTTCTTCTGTTACAGCTCTTACCTTCATCATCTGAACAACATAATATCTTGTTTGAAAAACTGTCATTTTTTGTAACATTAACCTGTTTGCCCAAGCTCTTGTACCATTAAATTTGATATATGTATTCAATATACCATTTCAAACCATTTAAATGTTGTAGCATTATAACATTTCCTTAATTTGAGTAGAGGCAGAACCCTGGGATATCTGGCCACAAATACCACAAGTGAAACTGCACCTTTTCTCTGAAAGTTCTCCATTCGTGGGCCGTATCCTCCAGCACCCTTTCTTGACCTCGTGCTACACTACGCAACCTGGTCCAGCGTTGCCACACTGTGGTCATGGATCGGCTTATGGTGGCTTTACTGGCGTCACTTCCAATCAGCTCTAACTGGGACGCTTGCTCTTCCAGACCAGTCAGCTTTTCTTGGAAACTGTTCACCATGGATACTAACGACTGCATGCCAAAGATGGAGACATTTTGAATTGGTTTATCATCATGTAGACATCTGAATAAGTTTATTGTCTCATGAAAGAGAGTCAATTCTGCATACTTAGCTCACCTTATGACTCCGGAGTTTCTCTTCAGCTTCCTGGTTTGTTGCAGCCTTGGCTGTGGAAAACTCTGTTAGCTTTTTCTCTGCCTCATTCATCAGCTCAATGACTGTCTGTCTGGCCTCCTGATATGAATTCCACTGGGCAACACAGCTGTAAAGGTCACATTATAACTGTGATTATAATTCAGGCCTACAACAGTGTTCTTTTTTAACATCACACTTAAGTCGATTTATAACACCAACCCCTTAATATATCTAAAGGTTCAAATGTTTTGAAAAAGATTGTATTCTGTACCAAACTGCACCTGTTCAGGATGTCTTGGTGGCACTGCAGCTGGTCTCTGACCTCTACGCCTCTCTGCTGTGCAGACTTCACACTAAGTTGAAGTTGCTCCTTGGCTGTAGGGTTGACCAGGTTTTCAAGTTGAGGTGGCAAAGATTCCAGCTCCTCAAGAACACCCAGGAACTCCTGTTCAGTGGCCATGATGTCTTCCTGTTGCCTCAGACACTCCTCGTAGTTCTCCACATCCACCCCAAGACTGGCCTGCTGCAAGAAGCCCACAGCATCCTCCAGCCACTCACAAGCTGTTTGCATTCTGGAGTGATACTTCTGGCACAAGGCGAGAGCTTGCTCTAGCGTTATCTACAGGAGAAACAATTGGATTCATTAGTGTGTTAGCTAGGGGAACCATTGGTTGATTAAGGAAGTCTTGCTGGCTTAGCTAGTTAAGAGGTTTGTTAGGCATACTGGCATCCCATGTTGGGGCCTAGTATCCAAAACATATTATGTTGACTATCTATGCAGGGTTTTGTGCTTTAACTAGTAGTCTTGGTTCCACTGATAGTTTAGATTAGAACTTGCCTGTTTGGAGCTGAGGGCACGTTGAACGTCAGCCTCCAGCTTGGCCATTTCTTGTAGACTTGAGTCCACATGAGGGGGAACGAGCTCATTGGCACTAGTGTACTTCTGCTTCTCTCTGGTGCTTAGAGCTGCCACTATTCTAAGCCTTGACTGAACTTCCTCTTGCATTATCTGTTGCTTTCTGATTTCCTCCTGGACCTTCTCAACCTTGACGTCTACCACCACCTCAGAGCCAAGTTCATCTTTGATTTGCTGGAGCCAAGTTAAGGTCCGATTGACTTCAGTCTCAAAGTCTTTACTCTGCACAAACCTGTTCTCACACTCCACAATTAGTTCCCCAACAGCTGACTGTAAGGACTGAAGCTCTTCTTGCCAAGAGGTTACCCGCTGCTTTGAAGCCTCATGTGCGGCGGAATCCATGTGGGGTGCCAGATTATCCATCTGCTCCATGAGTCGAGTGAGGTGAGAGCTGGCACCTTGAAGACTAGCAGCCAGGGCATGATAATTTTTCAATCTCTCCTCAGCTGACTGCGTCTCTGCATTGACTTTCACCAGTTGCTCTTTGGTGGCCTTCAGCTCTGAATCCACCTGCATAGCCATGGCTTGATGGTCCTCGAAAGATTCCAGTGTGTCGTCAAGATGTTCTACCCTCTGCTCAATCAATCTTTTCAGACCGTTGTAAAGACTAACCAGTTGGGCCATTTCTTCAGGTCTCCAAGGTTGGCCGGTGCTACGAAATCCCTCTTTCTTCTGGTTAAGTTCACTGACGGCTTGTCCAAGATTAGTCAGCTCCTCCAGGAGGGCTTTATAATCAGCCAGAAGACTGACAACCTCCTCAGTCTTAAGGCCGACGGACTGCGTCCCCAAGTTGTGGAACTGCTCCTCAAGTTCTTTAAGTGCTTTGTGGGTCACATCAATAAAGGAGGCATATTCCTGTCGGGCGAGAATGGCTTGTTGTATTTTCTCTTGTTTCTCCTTGGCTAGTCCCAAAATATTATTGTACTGTTGCGGAAGAGCAATCAATTTCTCATCTAAGTAGCAATGGTCCACTTCATTCAGAGTGGGAAGTATTTCTTGACCTGTTCTTTGCACAGTTAGAAGGAGGTTTTCATACTCCATGGCTTGATCCAATATTTGTTGGTATTTTGTAAGCTGCGAAATTAATTCTGCATCTCCATTCATGAGGTTTATCTCTGGGAAGGTCACAATATCAGCTTGCTTCAACCACTGGCATATCTTTTCGAGATCTACCTTGAAGTACTTCCTGGTCACCAATACTTTTTCCAGCTCCTGAAGCCTCTGGCTACACTTCTGTAGGGCAACTTCGAAGATATTCTGCAGCTCTTGGAGCTTGTTGAGCATCTCGGATTTCTCTTCTTCAGCAGCGTCTTTCATCAGATCCCTACCTTGGGACCACAGGGAGGTCAGCTCACTCTGATAGGCTCTCAAGCTGCTCTGAATGTTCCTGCAAGTCCTCACCTGCTTAGATAGGTCATCAGGAAGAAGGGCTATGTACTCCTCCGCTTGTGCTTTCTTTTCATTCTGCTGGACCCAGGTGATAGCTTGATTCACAGCCAAAAGAAACTGGGTTCTCTCTGTGAAGGCTTTGCTTAGGTGTTTCCTGCGTTGCGCGACTTTGATGCTCAATGACTCTACCTCTGCTTGAGTTTCTGAGATGAGCTGCTGCAGTCTTTGCCTTTCGTTTAGCCCGAGATGTGCTAAAACCCTATCTGCATCGCTCATGGCCTGGGCCAATAGAAGCTGCTTGGCTTCCAGCTCACTGCATATGCTTAGATGGTCGAAAAGGAAACTCTGAGCTAGTTCAGGTGGAGGACTCATCTTCATGGCTTCAGATAGGGCAGGCTGTTGCTCCTCAGCCCATTCGCAAGCTTCCCTCAAACGGGCCTCAACTTGGCCCATGTCTTCAAGGGTCACAATGGAGTCTTGGATCTTCCTCTCTATGAGACTCTCTAGATGGGCCCATCGCTGCTCAAAGTGGCCAATCTGCTCCTTCACCAGCTCTTTATCATCCAGGTTTAAGTGGTACATTACTTTTTGCTTCTGCTCTTTGAGGTCCTCAAGTGTGCTTTTCTTTTCTTTAAGAACAACCGAGAGTTTCCGAAGAGCCTCCAAATGATCAGATGAACTCTCAGCATCAGTTCTACAAGATCATAAAATAATAATGTATCTCACAGAAGTCTCAAATTACACTTCCAATGTAGCACTAATTAAAAGTGACATATGAATACATTTACACTAAATCCTGAATAACAGTTTTACCTGGCCAGGTTATCCCATTCCTTGGACACCTGTTCAAAGAGGGCTTCCATGGCACTGATGCAGTCATGATACTCTTTAGTCCTCTGCAGATCTTCCTCTCTCTGAGCCTGCAGTTTGTTGGCCTGATGGCACAGTTCCAGCCATGCATGGCTCAGTCGTCCAATCTCTGTATGCTCAGGAGACTCCTGCCCTTCTGTCAGCTTACTCACAAGCTCTGTCATCTTAGTCAGAGTGCTCTGTCTGCTTTGAAGCTGCTCGCCAAATTCCTACAGGCAACATGAGCACAGAGGATAAGCCAGATGTATAAAAAGAGATAACATGAAAAACAGAAATGAAAAATGACTCTTCCTGCTGAAGTAATCAATGCCAGGGCAGGTGAAAAATGATATAAACCAATAAAATCATAGCCTACTTTTCATAATTCAATAAAAAACCAAATCAAGTCCCATCCTACATTATTTCCAACTGAAATTTAGTTTGACCCAAAGTACATTAAATAATAGAAGTTAAATGTATGTGAATGTCATTCTATGTTGTCTTTAAATAAACAAAAATATGTACATTTATGTATATGAATAAATCCTATTTAAGATTTTTTATTTGAAAATTAATTTACATTGGCTTGATCAAGCATGTTTTGAGCAATCTTGGGCTCCAACTCGGCAGGTCTCCTGGACAGACTTTGCAATTGCTGTTCCATATCTTGGAAAAGTGTTGCGAGTTCCTGTTTTTGCTCTTTAATCTCCCTCCAACTATTCGACAGTTCTTGAGAAGTGGTCATCCTCTCCTCAATCTGTAGAATTGACAATATCAATTATATTACAATTAACTGGATTAATTTTATATTCCACAGCAGTGTTAGTCGAGTCTGCATAATCAAACTCACCATCATTTTGGTTTGCTGTATTTTGGCAGCTGTGGTTCTGACAGGCTCATCAGATAAATCACACACTGAACAAACCAGGTCTAGATACGTACTAGCCTGCTCCTGTAGGGCTCTAAAGTGCTTCACCTATGGATAAGTAGTCAAAATGTAAGTAAATATATTTAAGTTGTGTAGACAACTTTCAAGCTGGTTTGTATTAGCGTAATATCAATCTGCAGCTCTGTGACATCTACCTGTTTTAGAGCCTCTTGGAGGCCGTAGGGAGTTTGCGCCTGCAGCTGGATCTCCTCTTTAACGGTGGACAGCCACGTCTGACACTGCTGCAGTGTGTCCTGATGGCTGACGTGCTTCTGGAGCTCACGGTCAAGACTCTGATACACCTGATGAGCCAAATGTTAATTAATAGACTGAAATTATAAGATGGTTTCTACTAATGAGATCTTTTATTAGCAGGAGTGCTCACACGCTGAGCTGTGCTGCAAATAGCCGAATAACTGTCTCTGGTTCCCTGCTGGTGTGCCTGGATCTGCTGACTGATCTTGGTCTGGACTTGCTCCGTGCAGCTACTGGTGAGGAGATCGCCTTTGTCCTTCAGGCTGGTCAAACGCTCCTCAAAACCAGCTATTTCCTCCATTATTGCCTGAGAAGAAACAGTAATGAAACTAAGTATGTAGTAAGAAACAGACTATGAAAATGTTTATAAATGCTGCATGGATTTTTTGTAATTTTATTGCTTGTAAGTTACTGTAAAGCTATTGTTCATGGGATATTGGATCTGTAGCGTCTGGACCAATCAGACACACCATTTTTCATTTGATTTAACAAATCAATTATTCATTAGATTAAGAAATCGTCACAGGCCCCTCACCCAATAAACTGGATGCCAGGATGTCTGCAACCAGGCCCCCCTGGTTACCATGGCAACCCTGACACCAGATACATTTACGACCGCATGGAATTTAGGTGTGGAAAATCACTGCCTTGTCCATAAGGAAAATCCACAAAGGCACAGTAGGAATGGACTTTTCTACTAATTAATTCATAGGAAAACTTTTATTTGAATGAACACACATAGCCTTCAGGTCATTGGGTATATTATTGCTGTTTTGTATATTATCTGTTGTATTGTAAACTATTTTATGCCTGCTTATGATAGAACCACTCATTCATGTAACCTTACATATAACGTGTTTGGTCTCTATTCATTCGTATTCGGATTATCTAATTGAGAGTGTATATTGTATGTTTACACCTACGCAACATATTAGTGTTCTAAGAGTCTTTAGTAATTTTGATCCAAGTTTCATGTGCAAATTACTTTATGTGTTTATGTAGTATGTTAGACCAGTTTAAGTGTTTATGTAGTATGTTAGACTAGTTTAAGTGTTTATGTAGTTAATAAAACCTTACTTGTATCACACTTGACGTGGTTCATTGTTTGCTCATAACTGGAGTCACTTAATCATGCAGATTTATGCTACAAGCTTTTGTAGAATTGTACAGTAAGGAAGTTACTTCCCTTAACCAGGAAATTAACATTCTTAGAATTGACAAGACAGTTGACCCTGAGAGGTCAGCTAAATATCTACAACGGATCTAAAATATTCATAATTAATTATAACTAGTTATGATTAATTATTCATATTTCCCATGAGCTGATTCGTTACAGATCATATAATTAATAGCTATAATAACAGTGCACACACCTTGTGTCTGGCTAGTTGTTGTGTGGCTGTCTCTAGATTGCCACTTTGCATTGAGTCAGAAGTGACCAGCCTGCTAGACATCTGTAACAGCCATTTCTCTACTTCTTGTAGCTCACTGTTATAGACTTCATGCTCTCTCACGCTCTCGGTCAAACTCTGAACGTGGACCTACAACAGAAAAATATTAGACCAGCAATAATGCATGGAATCAATGTAGCAGAGACAATCATTTTTAAAGGGTCTGCCTGACAGTACCTTGGCATCATTGCATAATTCTTGATAGTCGGCTTTCAGCTTGCTGATGTCTTCACTGATAGACGGGTCACGGATTGTTTTAAGAAGTGCATCTCCCTTCTCTATAACCGATTTGACTGCTGACTCATGGGACTGGATGGTCTGCTGGATTGTCTAGAAGGGGACAAAGGATGCATTATGCAAAGGATGCATAAAGGGTTTACATGACTCTCTGAAGATGGTTGTATTTGTCACCTTCATAACTAATTCAGTGCATGTATCTTCATTTCTCACCAAAAACAAAAGTGTTTTCCTCACCTTATATTTGGCTAGCTGAGCCTTTTTTTGGTAAAGTTCAGCTTTTGGCTCCACTGGAGACGCCAGCAGTGATTTTGTCTCTGTAAGCCATTGTGTTTGAGTCTTATATTTGTCCAGGAAGTCTTTGGAGAGCTGTATGGATTTCTCTGTGGCACTGAGCTCTGACCGCAGAGCTCTGATCAATGTCTCCAGCTGGCAGAGTCGGGTGTCGACTTCTTCCTTGAGCTGCTCTGCCTCAGGTTCCTCCAGGAACGTCATGGCACGATCCGTCTTTTCACGCATGGTCTTCAGGAAGGTGTGACCCAGCTCCATGTCGCCCTGCAGAGCCTGAGACATTAAATAGCAAGTTTCTTATGCACATGATCCTTCAGAAGTCATTCTAATATGCTGATTTGGTGCTCAATAAATATTTCTTATTATTATCAATGCTGAAAGCAGTTGTGCTGATTAATATTTTTGTGGAAACCGTAAAAATTCCAGGATTTTTCTGATGAATAGAAAGTCCAAAAGAACAGCATGAATTTGAAATCTTGGTCCCACTTTATATGATGTGGCCTTAACTACTATGTACTTACATCAAAAAATAAGTACAATGTACTTATTGTGTTCATATTGTATTGCAAAACACTTTTGCTGCTATCGAGGTGGGATACGGGTAAGGTTAGGGACAGGTTGGTGGTCTGGGTAGGTTTAAGGGTGGGTTAAGGTGTAAGGGATGGGTCAACAGTGTAATTATAAATGTAATTACAGAAATTAAATACAGATGTAATTACATGCAGGTATTTTTTTAAAAACATAAGTACAATGTAAAAACATGTATGTACACAATAAGTGCATTGTGCCAAATTATTAATTTAAATGTAAGTACATAGTTGTTAAGGCAACTTGATATAAAGTGGGACCTAAAAGTATCAATTTTTTCCAAAAAAATCTGACCTCAGATTGTTGTATTGTAGTATAAACTTGTGCACGATAAAGTATGAAGCTTCTTTGGCTTAATAACCAAAGATCTTACCTATTATATTTTTCATACCTCTAGTTTTTTCATTTTCTTCTCCATGGCAACGCGATCGACCACATCAATGGTGGTGGTGGCCACAATGCTGAAGTTCTTTTCTGCTGTACTCAACCAATCAGAGAAGGTGCTAAAGACACTCTGGGATTCTTCAATGCAGGAAACCTCCTCCTTCAGCTGCTTAATAGTGTCCTGCAAACACATACAGTATAAAATTAATAGTAAAATTTATCATTGTAACTCTTCTGATATAATATAATATAATATAATATAATATAATATAATAATAAATACAACAGTAGTTTATGGTATGTCCTGATTTAGATGTGTGTGTTTAAAGTGTACCAGCAGGTGTAGCAGCAGGGCATGATAGCGTGACGTGAGTTGTGTAGCTCTAGTGCTGACTCTGCTGCTGATGGGCGTCTCTTCTAAAACTTGTTGGGCCAGGACACTGAGACCCTCTATCTCTTCCTGATAAGCCAGCACCTCCTCATGCCAACCCTGAAGAGACATCACAACAATATATCAGACTCCATCCAAACATACGTTCTACAGGAACAGCTCACTTGGAGCTACTGTAGGTTCATGAATCACAATATATTGAGTTTAAACCTATAACCTTCGGGGTCCAACCCAGATCTATGGTAACTACACTGTAAAAACTTTTTTTTTTGAAGTTGCAAATAAAACAAAGACACGAGAAAATGCTATTTCAGTTATTCTGCTTTAAAATTTCACATTTAATTCAATTTAATCACAATTGAAGTGCCGTTTCTAAATATTTGTGAAATCTACTAACCATTTGTACTGTAATTGAAAATGGTTTCAAAGTAAATCCTACAGTGTGTGGTTCCTGTCCTAACCTTCAGGAGCTGTAGCTGTGCCTCTTTTGTTGCTCTGTCAGAGCGGCGGCCAGAGCGTAACTCTCCTTTAGTCTCCATCCCTTTGAGCCAGTTATCCAACCGCTGGAACTTCTGCTCTATCTGCCGGAGTTTGGCCAGAGCGCTGTTGAGCTGAGATCTGGTCTCACCCAGCCGGACCTGATACGAGCCCCACTCCTGCTGGACCATCTCCAGGCATCGGTCCTCTAACTGCGGGACGCCCCAGGGAATCACCTGCTCTCGGGTCACCAGCAGTGTGTTGAGCAGGGCTTGACCCTCTGTGCAATGCACCTGAAGCTCCTGGAGATGGATATTAGAGATATTTCTCTAATGCATATTTATATTGAAATGCCAAAGAATCAAACTATTCAGCAGATAATTACAAAAACTACCATTATGAATATGGATGCACAGTATATTTTCGATCACATTGGTATTTGCCAATATTGGTATTTCTTTCAATAAGTGACTCTAAATCAAGGGTCCTCAGCAAACTTGATGACTTCAATATAATTATTTACAAATTATATAATAACATTTAAACATGTAATTAAAATTATTTAGTAACGTTATTATTATTATTAATATATTAAAACAATCTAACTTAATTAAAAAGCAGTATTCTCTTTTGCAATGTCTGGTCACAAACATATTAAACAATTATGCATCTTTCTAGCATATATTATAATGTTTTGATGCCAGGTATTTACATATTATATATAAATATTCATATATTTACATCTTTATTATGAACATGTTTTTGAAAGCAACAGAAAAATAATTAAATAATATAATTTATAATGTCAGACATTATAATAATAACATAAATAACTGTCTATTCGAATTAACCAAAATCTGTATCAGTGCATACATTATTATTAATATTTACTGCTAAATCTTAATAAAAAATATATTATAACAAATCATTATTTAATGTCATTTCAAACAGTCATAAACAGTCAAGTTGATTCATATATTGTCATAAATATTCATATCTGAATATACATATTCTACTTTACTTAGACATTATATACAAACAAATATAAAATGCATTAGTAAAAATGAACAAATAATGTGCCACAATAACTACTTCAAGATGTCCTCTGACCTGTAGTTTGCGTAGCGTGTCCTCTAGAGTCTCGACGTCTCCCTCCAGCTGTGTGTAGCTGCAGCTCAGTCTCTCCTGTTGTTGCTCCAGCCAGTCTTTAAACTCATGCAGGGTGCGCTGGTACTCCTGATGGGCCGACACCAGCTCCTCCGCTTTGGCAACTGCACACTGTGGCAGAAAAATTTGAGTCCATTTAACACAAATATTCTGCATATTCTATATGGTGACCAATAGGAGCAGTGCATTATACCTGGGCCTTATCTTTGACAATATTGTAGCGCTCTTGTAAGTCCTGAATCTCTAGCTGGGTGACATAGTGCTCTGCCATGTTGGATCCCTTCACGGATACGACATCAAGGATGCTGTTGTGACTTAAAACATCCTCTAGGAGCAACTAAAATGAGGAGAATGTTTGTACAGTATGTCAGGACTGACAACTTCTAGAATGCAATTACTGAAGTATTGACAATAACACAGTACTTTGGCTTTGCCCAGGTTGGTGGTTTTGTCTCTCATCTCAGAGCACTGTTTGTCTGCAGAGTTTAAAGTCTCTTCCACCATCTCCATCCAGCTCACAAACTGATGCACGTCTTCCTGGTAACTGGTCCACTGTGACAGAGCGCCCTCCAGTTGGCTGTTCGAACACAAACACAGCACTCTTTAATACAGTGAGCAAATTCAACTTCAGCCAAGAGCCCCCTTTTCAGCTGTATGAGATTCTAGAGTTGGCTGTATAGGGCTAGTTCTGCTGTTTTGAGTCTTTTGTTTTTAACTCTAGAAAGCTGTTTTTGCAATGATCATTTATTTGAATAATGAATATAAATCTGATCTTCTGGTTCGCATATGCTCGGTTCCAGGAGAAAATAATCATGAGATGAAGCTTCTGTAATTAGTAAACTATTTATGTTAACTAAGAAATATTCATATATGTTTTCATACAAATATTGAAATATATTTTCATATAAATATATTAATAAATAGAAATAAATATATGCATATATGTTTTCATACAAATATTGAATTATATTTTCATATAAATATATTAATAAATAGAAATAAATATATGTAATGAAATTTTATATATATATATATATATATATATATATATATATAAATTTTTATAAAATAGTTGTTTATTTAAAATATAGAGCAGAAAACAATAGCCCCTTTCACACGTACAGTCTTTACTGGTAAATTACCAGTAAAAGATCATGTGTCAACAGGACCTTTTCAAAAATATGAGTGAACAGAGAATGAAGATTACCAGTATGAGCACATACAAAGTCACTTCTTAGTGTCAATACTTATTTTGACTTCCATCAAAGTACATTTAATTACGGTCTTCTCCAGGCCAGATGTATTTCACATTAGGTCTTTGCACTGATATTAATAAAACCATATTGACCTCTTGCATTGAATAGATGCCGACAGCAGCCCATCCCATGAGTCTTTGAGGTCCTCGATTTGTTGGCGTACCAGCGGTACACCCTCAGCGGAGGTGTTCCTCTGGACCGACTCTCCTCTCGTCACCAGCATTTTCAGCTGTATCTCCTTCTCTTGACGTGCCGTCAGTAAAGCCTGGGAAGCATGGATGCATGAATGTCAGACCACTCATTACATGTTAACTACATGCTAAGGGCCATGAAATTAAATGCAAAGTCAAATACTTTAGCTGAAATGTTCAGAATGAAGTACTAGTGTACGTACTACTGAAGACTAAAAGTAGTATGTGGGAAATAAATATGGTTATTTATGGTGACATATATGTGTTCCTCACCTCGAGTTTGATCATTCTGCTGTCCAGCACGTTCTTGTCTGCGGTGGGAGTGCAGTAGGTTTGCAGCATGTGACTGGTATCAGCCACCCAGTTCTGCAGCTCTTTCAGGCCCTGTGAGAACAGCTGGTGCTCGGACACGATGCGGTCGATTCTAGAGGCTTTTTCCTATTTGACAAGCACAACATAATCAGATGAATGATCACTTCTTTGAGATAAAGCGACTCGAGACAGTAACTGCGGATTCAGTACATAATCATAACATACAGTTTAGTAATTAATCATTCGGTAAGGGAAGCATCTTAATAGAAACAGTAATTGTGTTAAAAGGATAGTAGCTGAGAGCTTTTCAAGTCATCTTGTACTGTATATTTATCAAATCTGGATGACTAATCCATATGATTTTTTTGCTTATTAAGTAAATAGGCAGTACAAATGCCAACTTACATTGCCCTAAATACGTAATTTCTGTCAAAAATGCATACTTGGGAAAAAATTTTGAAGTAAACTTAAATACAATGTGAATGTAACATCAAAAACAATACTTTTTGAAATTTCTCTACTGTGCATAAGTTTAATTACTCCATATAAAGTTTCCAGGTGAAAAGGGTCCTCCACCCTGAATAGAAACATGTGGACTGTGTCTGAAACCAAAGGGAACTACATGCTTCCTTGACCAGTTAGTCAATGACTTAACAAAGAGCATTCATAAGAAAGTACATCTTATAGAAAATTGTTGGAGATATAACAATATCATGTCTAATGATTTACCAAGCAGACACTTAAAGACCACGATGCTTCTTTCATTGTTGAAATTATATCAGAAATGGACCAAAATCAATAAAAAAAGGAACAAATAAAAAGGAAAATAAATAAAAAATATAAAAAATGTAAATAAATGAAAAATAAAAATATTTAAATAAAATATATTAAAAAAAAAATTTATAATAATAAATACTAATTTAAAATAATTTATCATTGAATTTACTGCTCCATCAGACACCTTTTGGTGACAAAACACTACAAAAAAAATTTATTTATATAAATTTAAAAAAATTAAATAAAAATAAAAAAACTGAAACAAAATATTCACAAATATAAAAATTAAAATTAAATCAACAAATAAATATTTACATATAATAAATATTTATATATATTCAACTTTCATTTACTGCCTAATAAGAGCATTTGCCAGGTTTCTGACACAGCCCTATGTGCACATACTGTATAGTTTGTTGACCTCTGCAGCACTAGGAACAAGGTAGCTAGCGGGCAGACAGGCGGGACGTTACCTTGGTCAGGTTGCTTAAAGCTAGGTACTGAGCTGAGAGCTGCGAGACACGGTGCACAAAGCCCTTTCCGGCCGTGTGTCCGTCCCACAGCTGCTGGGCCTTCACCCTCAACCTGTGCAGCTGAGACTCCTTAGAGGCTAATTCCTCTAGCAGAGACTGTGAAAGCACAGGCACATTAGCACAGAGCAGCATCGCACACAGTCCTGTGTTAGCAGATGATTAATAAAGCAACATGGCAGCACATGAACAGGACAGATGTTAAGACTGGGGACAAGCGATGTGATTATGAGTATGACAGAAATGCAAGATTAAAGCATGACATGAATGCAGCCGTCTCATTCATTCGATCACATGTACTGATCATTTTCTACATACATTTTAACATTAAAGTCAACATGAAACACAATTTGACCCTACTTACTTTTATAATACACATCCCTGGTTTTACTGTGCACAAATCAGTATCACAATTGATTTAAAACAATACGGACAATACTGACAACAACAAAAACTGTAATGTCCAACACATACAGCAGCAATGCCATAAAGCCATAAAGAATGATGCTTGTGAATGGCTGTTATGCTAATGGCTGTGAATAGAGGTGGTTTTGATTACGCTGTACTGCACCTGTAACCTGTGCAGCTCCTGTTTCTTGGCTGTGAGATCATGCAGCCGACTGCTGCTCTCCTGAACGGCCTCCTCGGTTTCATTCAGCCAGTCCTGGAGCGGCTCCACGCTCGTTTCAAAGTCCCGCATCTGAGCCTGAAGATTCTGGAAGAAAATAATCAATGACGGTACATTTAAAGAGAGAATGACTAATTATCTAGATCAGTTTTGGCCTCCTGAGGTCTATGATATAAATGATTTACTCAAGTACAGCTTGAGATTGCAAGTAATGTTCTAACCTTTCAAGAAATATTGAATAACATGAATATTAAATGTAACTAGATTTTTAGGATGTTGCAGGAAGCTGCTATTGTATTACAGGCCCAGATCAAAAGAGTCTCAGATTCACCAGATGTTAACAGATAAACAGATGTGTGTGAATTTATGATCAAATGATCATCAGACACCTGTAAAGCGGTTTCTCTCTGATGCAGATTGGTCATGAGTGATTTCCAGTCTTCTCTGGCTGTGTTGCTTTTAGCTCTGATGGACTCTACTCTGTCTTTGGGAGCGATGCTCATCAGCAGCTCTCCGCTGGCTGCCACTGTGTTCAGTTTGCCGTGGCCTTGCTCACGGTCACTCAGAAACTCCTGCAATAATAAGAACATACCCTCAGAATCGTAACTGAATTGAGTGGAAAATAACAGTAAATCAATAAGATGTTACCTGGATCTTCTGCAGGCTGGACGATGCTTCAGCCAGGTTCTGAGGCACATCGAAACATTTGGCCGTACTGATTTTCGCATTGACCAGCCACTGCTGGAAGTCTCGAAAAGCAGCACGGAAGCGCTGCTCCAGGAGCTTCTCCTTTCCCTGACACTCTCGAGACGCCTGGAGACTGAGGCTAGAGGGAGGAAGAGAGATGTTGTGAACTATGGATGCAAATGAAGGCATCTGAACAATGATATCATGGGAACTGAGCCTGGTTTCTCCCAAGGTTTTTTTCTCCATTTCTGTCACCGATGGAGTTTTGGTTCTTTGCCACTGTCGCCTTTGGCTTGCTTCGTTGGGGACCCAACTACTCACCCTCGTGTTGTTCCAAACCTGTAAGACCTTTGTTCATCTTCGGAACACAATTTAAGATATTTTTGATGAAATATGAGGGCTCTCCGACCCTCCCATAGACAGCAAGGTAACTACCACGTTCAAGGTCCAGAAAAGTACCAAGATGATCGACAAAGTAGTCCGTGTGACATCAGTGGTTCAACTGTACGGTTACGAAGCTACGAGAATACTTTTTTGAACAAAGAAAACAAAAATAACGACGAAAATTTGGAATAAAATCGTTATTTTTGTTTACCTTGCTGCCTATGGGAGGGCCATAGAGCCCTCATATTTAATCAAAAATATCTTAAATTGTGTTTCGAAGATGAATGAAGGTCTTACGGGTTTGGAACAACACGAGGGTGAGTAATTATAAAAAATTATAACCCCTCATAGGACCTCAGATGATGCCAACCCTGAAACAACATACAGAACTACCACATTTTGCTATAAGTTTGATTGCATCATATAATAATTGCTGTTAATATTGTTCATCGTCTGTTTTATTACGTCTTTAATTTATTTTTCCGTACATTTCTGCCATATGTACATTAACTGACAGTCACCACTGATAAGCTACCACTAAATATTGTAGAAACTTAATTTGCTGTAAAGGTGCTTTGCAACGATTTGTATCGTGAAAAGCACTATACAAATAAACTTGAATTGAATTGAATTTAATTGTTATGTGCTTTTGTCATTTTTATAACTTTTTTATATATTTATATTTAGCTTTAATTTATTTTTATTTCAGTTTTAGTTTCAGTAATTTTAGTATTTCAACTCAAACTTTTTCTTAAAAATAACAATTCTTGTTAAAAAGTTTATTTCCGTTAAGGTATCATTACTTTTTTATTATTATTTAATGTTTTTGATCTAATGTTTACATTACATTTTATTTCAGCTTTATTTTAATTAGTGAAAATTATTTGTAATACTTTTAGTTAACAATAACACTAGTCTCTCTGTGTACTCAGATGTTCTACTAAAACTAAAACTTACAGTAAAACCTGGAAGAGTCGGTCTTGAGCTCTCCTACCTGTTGTATTCTTTAATGAGGGCGGACACTCTCTCAGATTGAGCGCCCAGATCTCTGGAGAACCGGCACAAGTCATTCAGCAGACACTTCAAATTGTCAGACATGGGCTCAATGTTTAGCAGTGCTTCCAGGGCGTCCTGAGTCATAAAATCATTAAGTACAATAACTTTAAAAGGACAGAAATCTTGTATTATTATTATTTATTATTTTGCTCTGTAGGCTTTACCTTTGCTATCTGCCATCCCTGCACAGCCTCTTCACCAGAGCTTATTTCCTCCCCCTGCTCCAGTTTAATGCGCCACTCCTGCAGCTTGCCGCTGAACTCCTGCAGGTCCTGCTCTAGCTGCGCAGCTAGGCTGTTGAACTCCTGCTCCGAGCTGGCCATCTGAGCCAGAACGCCCTCCAGACCGGAGCACATGTGTTTAGCTCCGCGCTCCCACTGTTCCCAGGCCGAGAGCAGCCCGGCCTCCTCCCTCTCCAGGACCTCACAGCCCACCGTGGATGTGTGGTCGCGTGTGGCGGCACCACAGCTCTGCACACGGGTCAGACGCTCATGCCCTTGTTTCCTGGAGTCTAACAGCCCCTAAAATGGAATGACAAAGATTTAAAGTCAAAATTGACGCGGTTTACTTCCTAAATAAATGTTTCTGGTCTTATTGTGTGCACAACAAGATATCAGAACACAGTATAGCTTAACAGAAATAAACGTACCCTGACTTTAGAGAGTTTCCTCTGAACAGAAGCAGCGTCTCCAGACATGTCTGACCAGCGCTGAAGCTCTTCTTTAGCTGATGTGAGCCAGTCATTCAGCTCACGCACTGACTCCATGTACTGCTCATGCTCCTTGACGATCTCCTTCGTCTGCTGTACCTTATTCTGCAGAATAGGACATTACACAAAACATCAGAAATGTTGAAACTCAGAAAATTTACTCTATTTAATAATAAAGCTAATTATAAAAAAATTATGTTAATGATTCATCAATGCACATTATTATTATTATTATTATAAAGATTTTTATAATCTTTCATTAAAACTTAATTATTTTAAATATTTTATTAACTAATGTAACCAAGAAATCAATTCATTTCTTAAGAAATGATCTTGTTTACTTTACTCAATCCAATAAAATCTTAATCTTTTCAGAAATATGTCACATTATGGATATTAAATTTGTTTTAAGTTGTTTTTAACATATTCATCAGACACTATTATCCAGAGTGATTTACAGGAAGAGCTTTGGATTGGATTGTGTATTCAAGCTGTGAGCTTGCTAAACTAGGTGATAAAATAAAATAAAATAAAATAAAGGCCTTGGTCTTACATTTATATCAATAATATAATAATGATTATCAACAAAACGTTCAGGTTGAATAAAATATGTAAGAATAGTAATTTCAAAATAAATCATCAATGCACATTATTATTATTATTATTATAAAGATTTTTATAATCTTTCATTAAAACTTAATTATTTTAAATATTTTATTAACTAATGTAACCAAGAAATCAATTCATTTCTTAAGAAATGATCTTGTTTACTTTACTCAATCCAATAAAATCTTAATCTTTTCAGAAATATGTCACATTATGGATATTAAATTTGTTTTAAGTTGTTTTTAACATATTCATCAGACACTATTATCCAGAGTGATTTACAGGAAGAGCTTTGGATTGGATTGTGTATTCAAGCTGTGAGCTTGCTAAACTAGGTGATAAAATAAAATAAAATAAAATAAAATAAAATAAAATAAAATAAAATAAATTTAAATTTAAATTTAAATTTAAATTTAAATTTAAATTTAAAATAAAATAAAATAAAATAAGAGTCTAACAGCCCCTAAAATGGAATGACAAAGATTTAAAGTCAAAATTGACGCGGTTTACTTCCTAAATAAATGTTTCTGGTCTTATTGTGTGCACAACAAGATATCAGAACACAGTATAGCTTAACAGAAATAAACGTACCCTGACTTTAGAGAGTTTCCTCTGAACAGAAGCAGCGTCTCCAGACATGTCTGACCAGCGCTGAAGCTCTTCTTTAGCTGATGTGAGCCAGTCATTCAGCTCACGCACTGACTCCATGTACTGCTCATGCTCCTTGACGATCTCCTTCGTCTGCTGTACCTTATTCTGCAGAATAGGACATTACACAAAACATCAGAAATGTTGAAACTCAGAAAATTTACTCTATTTAATAATAAAGCTAATTATAAAAAAATTATGTTAATGATTCATCAATGCACATTATTATTATTATTATTATAAAGATTTTTATAATCTTTCATTAAAACTTAATTATTTTAAATATTTTATTAACTAATGTAACCAAGAAATCAATTCATTTCTTAAGAAATGATCTTGTTTACTTTACTCAATCCAATAAAATCTTAATCTTTTCAGAAATATGTCACATTATGGATATTAAATTTGTTTTAAGTTGTTTTTAACATATTCATCAGACACTATTATCCAGAGTGATTTACAGGAAGAGCTTTGGATTGGATTGTGTATTCAAGCTGTGAGCTTGCTAAACTAGGTGATAAAATAAAATAAAATAAAATAAAGGCCTTGGTCTTACATTTATATCAATAATATAATAATGATTATCAACAAAACGTTCAGGTTGAATAAAATATGTAAGAATAGTAATTTCAAAATAAAATACTTATGGACGTCAAATCTGTTTCATGTTGTTTTGAAGCTGTTCAGCAGACACTGTTACCCCGGGTGACATACAGGAAGTGGTTTGGCTTCTATATTTAAATTAAAATGACATATTTTTACCTTAATGACAGCTGTGATGTTGGTAAACTGGGTGTTGAACTCAGATTTCGGTCCCTCTGCGAATGCTTGGTCTCCTGTCTTCTCATACAACTCTGTAGCTTTCTCATTCAGGCGGGTCAGCGCTGACGAATGGACCTCCACATCGGCCTGAATGGCCCGTAGGCGCTCCAGCAGCGAGGCCTTCTCTTTCAGCCCGGGCTGCTGCGGCAGAGCCACTCCTGCCTCCTGCTCCACCATCTCCATCCACTGCTGCAGCTGAGCTTTACTCTCCAGGAAACTGCCCCACTGAGCCACGGTCCACTCCAGACGACTGCATCACACACACAAATTATTCTTATAGCATTCTGCCAAGTTACCATGAGGCTTGTTAAGAGGAGTCAGGAACTCACCTGTGGCAGCTCATGGCGGTCATGAGGATATTGGCCCAGGAATCCTTCAGACTCTTGAGCTGAGAGCGGATAACTTCCTGTTTATCCCTACTGCAGTTCTTCAGCACCTGTTCTCCCTTCCCTACGGTCATGTTGAGCTTCACCTCCCCTTCACCCTTCATCAACAAAATGTCCTGAAACAATAGCATCAAAATATCAATGCTCATACATCATTTTATAATATAAAACGAAAAATCATAAGAAATGTGTGCATTATTAATTAACAAGACTAGTAATCTCAAAATTTTGAAATGGCCTGGCTATGATATTTATATCAATAACATATTATCATTAATAAATAATATAATAATGATTACAGACAAAGAGTTCAGGTTTAATAACATACATGTATATATGGCATATGTCATAACTGACAAGACTGGTATTCTCAAAATCAAATCAAATAAAAGTTTTATCAATAATATAATAACATATAATATCTTACATCTAAGTTATAATAATGATAATCGACAAAAAGTTTGAGTACAGGTTTAATAAAATAAAAATAAAATAAAATAGACTTATATTCATATCAATAATATAATAATATATCATATCTTAAATATATGACAATAGCAATGATCGACAAAAAGTTTGAGTTCAAGTGTAATAAAATGTATGCCATATTAATAAAATGTAAACATTGTAAAAAATAAATAAAATCAATTACAATTAGGCTTGGTATTATATTATATTATATTATATTATAATGATTGACAAAGAGTTTGAGCTTGCATAAAAGTGTGAGAAGTAATAATATTTGAAGTAGGAGGAATTTAAAAAGTACTATTACTAAAAGTACTAAAGTACTGCCTATCAAAGTACTATTACAATAAAAAATCCCATAATAATAATAATAATAAAAAACCTCGGAATATTCATCTGGATGGCATGACTGTATTTTCTAACCTGAACCAGCCCCAGTCTCTTCTCCAGGGTCTCTCTATTCCCGCTGGTGCTGTTGAGTGAATTGAGTCGCTCCTGTACGCCACTGAGCCATCCCCAGGTGCTCTGCAGCGTCTCCTCAAAGTTCTGCTGCTCCTGCAGGCTGAGCTGACATATGCGCAGTCTCTCCCTCGCCGCCTTGAGAAGTGCCTGATGCTGCAGCTGCAGCTGCGCAGACACCCTGAGCTCCGCCCCGCTTCCGTGACCCCCCTCACTCAGGGACTGAGCTTCCTGACACAGACTCTCAAACGAGTCCCTGCAGGATAGAAGATTGGATTTTTAAATTTTTTTATTTTATGCATTTTTATTGTATTTTAATTTACTACGATTTCTTGCATATTATATGAAAACATTATACAAAATACTGTGAGAGAATGCTATAAAATTGTCAATAGTAGATCTGTATATATGTATGAATCTCACAAAAACATGTCCAGGTCACATTTCCCAAAAAATAATGTTTATGTGTATTATTAGTCATATTAATAGCAATATTATCAATATATAATATAATAACGATTGACAAAGCATTTGAGTTTGTGCTTATTTAATTGCAGAAAAGTGTGAGAAGTAATATTTGTAGTATGAGGAATTTGAAGAACATGCTGCCTTGCAAGCACTATTGCAATTAAAAACCCATATTAATGAATTAAAAAATTAAATACACATATTTTGCATAAGGAATATAAAAACTATTATGTAAAATACATGCATTAATAATAACACATTATTTATTTCTTTTAAATTATTAATAAATATAATGCAATATACATGCATTAATAATGAAATATTGTTTATAAATTATTTATTAATAGAATTTCCAAAATTACAAAATGTATTAGTAAATAAAATATTTTATTATGTATTTTATAATGATTTATTTAATAATAAAATACATATATTTTGCATAAGGATTTTCTTATTTATTTAAAGGGGTCATATGATGCAATTAAATTTTTTCCTTCGGGGCATAGAGGAGAAACAATAATGTACAGTATGTGGAAAATAATGTGTTTTTTTTTACTTTAAACCACATAAACACATTTCATTACACCAAATACACAACATAATGTTCTTTTTAGCAACATCATATGACCCCTTTAAATATATGTTAAATGCAAAATGCATGGATTTAAATAATACATACATATATACATACATGTTAATAATAACAAATTATTTATTAATTATGAAACATTTATAAAACAAATATAATTTTTTTTTTTATAAATTAAATGTATATATATATTTTTTTTTTTGTGGGGGAGGAGATTATTTAGGATATTTTAGAATATATTTTACACAAAGTTAAAAAATGTTATGTTTTGCTGGTGCATAAAAACAGTGGGCTGTTTATTTACACACTGAGGTCACACAGAGAGGACAAAAGATTGATATTTATCAGTTTAACATTTTCTAACCTCTCTTTAAGCACTTCATGTTGGAATTCTTCCACGCGCTCCAGCGTTACTCGCTCATGATCACTGTGTCTCCCCTCAGGCAGCTCTGTGCTCATCCTCACATCCATGTGCTCCAGCCAGCGGGTCAACCTCTGCAGACGGCTCTCAAAACTAGAAAGACAGCACAGATTTCAATTCAGAGCATTTGGTGACATATAACCCCCTGCCAACTTGAGAGCCGAGTGTAGGTTCTCTCTTCCACACCAAAGCCGTTTATCCCCAGGAGTTATTTCAAACAATCTGCCGCTCTAATATTTAACCCAGCGAGCAGCAGTGTGAAGCTGCTGTTAAGTTCTCACCCGCTGAGCAGACTGGCGCTCTCTTCCAGGTTCTGCTGGTTCTGTTTACACTGCTCCACGTAACTGTCCCAGTCCTGCTGGATGGAGGAGAGGTTCTGCTGGACTTGGCCAGCGCTGGCTTTGGGAAGGTGAAGAAGAAGCTTCTCACCCTCAGTGCACACCAGTGTTAGACGGCTGTCTCCATCATCCACCCGCTCCAGAGCTCCCTGTATTACAACGAGTTTAAGTCTCAAAAGTTACACATGCATAACATGTCTGACATCGTTTGTACTATAGACAAAAAAATAATTCACATTCACATTTTGACATTATTACTGGTATTCCTGTTACTTTCAATTAACTTCCTTTTTTTTCTAACCAGTCACAAACATCAAGTGTCATTTTAAGACATTTTAACGGATGCTTGGTATATTTTATCAGGATGAAGTACCTTCAATTTCTGCAGTTTGCGTTCCACCACGCTCATGTCACCAGAATGATCGGCACATTCTCTCACAATGTCTTTCTGTCCAGAGAGCCATGTATGAAACTCCTTGACGAGATCTGAGAAAAGAAGACAAAGCGGAGACAGTAAGTAAACAATCTTTCCACAATGTCTGTCCTTGGATCAGTAGGGAAGATCATTGTTTAATCAGGAATACAGTGATTCTCACCATTGAAGTGCTGCTGGAGGCCATGCTGCATGGAGCCAAGCTTCTTAACACAGAGCTGATTGACCGTTTCATATTTCTTGATGAGGTCGGTCAGAAAGGAACCTAGTCCGGCAAGTTCCTCGGATGGGTATTTTCTGCAAAGCGTGTTCAGGCTTTCCCGGGCTGAGTCAATGCTCGTCTGTTGGTTCTGAAGCTCCTTTTGGATTTCCTACGAATTGTGTGCATAGAAATTTTTTTATTTTTTTCCCTTTAAAGTCTATTAATAATGTCAGTCAAGGTTTCTTGTATCAAAACAGTCATAATTGAGTGTTATCTGACCATTTTTCACCCTCTCTCTGATCTCTAGAGCTTTTAAAACTTCTATATGTACAGTAAATGTCCTCTGTTATGATTGGCTAATTGCGATATGCCTCAATTCACTCGTTTCTTTACAATGAGGCATGAAGTCGTTTTTTCCAAAACCTTTACCCTCTCTGTTCCTCTCTGGTGGAATGAGCTACCAACATCCACCCGAACAGCTGAGACCATTACAACTTTCAATTTTCAGTCTTCAGGATTCTAATCTAGCTACAGTATACAGTACCGTAAATATCGTTGGCTCTATGACCAACTGCTTATGCTCTTCTGTTGTAAGTTGCATTGGATAAAAGCGTCTGCTAAATGCATAAATCCATGTATATCTAAATAGGTCTCCTTCAAAATGGAAGAAATCACACTTTCTGTACCTTCACTCTGCAGATTTCTTCAGGAGCTGTTCCACATGGCGAATCCACCAAAGATCTCTCAACGTTCTTCAACCACTCGGACATCTGGCTGAGAAAATCTTCCAGCTGCTTCTTCTGAGAGCAGAAATCTTGGAGGTTGCCCTTGGCTTGATCACATAACTCTTCAATGTTACTAATTTTCCTTCTGAGGTCCGTCTCCATGACCTGGAAGATGGCGTAGAGCTGATGAAACCAATTATCAAAACCAATGAGCTGGAGAACAAATGGAGATCAGTTTTACCTGCAGTTTAGCAGGAGCATCTTGGCCACCGCAGAGTCGTTTCAGCTCTGAAACTTTCTCTTGTAAAGCATCAATCTTCTTTTCTTTCAGGCTAACATCCACCTAGACAGAAAAAGGAATACAAATATTACACAACTGTTGCTCTGGTTTTATGAATGTGTTTAATAACACAGCTCGGAACATGCCTCGACTTCAGAGAGTTTGTTTGCAGATTTCTGGCTATCGTTGAAGTTATTGAGTCCATCTGTAAGATCCATGACCGAGCTGTTGGACCAGCTTTCGATTTCTCCACTGATATCGTAGATTTCCACCCACAGAGCAGAGCTCCTCTTGAGACTTTCGAGATTGTCCTCAATTTTTTCGGACACCTGTGTGGATACGAAGAACAACGGCTCTTAGTTTCTGTTATATGAGTTTTTTTATTGAAGACTCAATAAAACTCACATCTAGCCATTGGTCCACTGTGGCATCTATTTCTGTCTTCACAATCTGGGTATCGCAATCAGGGATCTTGTTTAATTCACTTAAAAGCTTCTTTCCTTTACTGGAGAATCGCTCTAGTACATCCTGGTTACTGGCCATCTCTGCTTTAATGGCTTCATGCTACAGAAAGGAAGATCATTAAAGTTTATCATAGATCATAGAAGTTAGTAACTCTATTAAACTGGTATTTCACAATCTGCCTACAGACTGTCAGGTTTTACCTTCAACAGGGATCTCCGTGTGTCCTCTTGGTCTTTCAGGACAGCTTTAATGTCGGATATAGCATCAGCACTCTCCAATATTGTGTTTATTGAAGCCTTCAGACTCTGGTAATCTTTCATGAGCTCTACCAAAGTGCTGCTCTGCTCTTGCCTGGACAAAAACATGCAGCAATGTCAGTTAGACACTAAAAACGGGGCTGAACCTTTGCATTATATAACTAAAATTTTGAAAGTAAAATAAAACTTTGATATACTTAGGCAGTGGTTCAGACCAAGTTGCCAACTACATTTGATCAAATCAGACTATTCTTGCAGCACAAAGTCACCATGTAGTAGGGCTGCACAATTAATCGAATTTCTAAGCATTTAGATTACAATTACGGATGCCACAATTACATAATCGCTCAAAGTCTTAATTACAAGAAAAAGGTCCACTTAAATTATTCTGCATGCTTAAGATGTTTTATTTCTTTCTACAGGTTATCTTAAGGATTCATTTTAGTTTTAGTATAACATTACAATACCATGCATATTTTAAACCAAACCAATGTATAGTTGACATTTGAGGCTTAATGCTATAGGAAAGCAATAAAAGTTTTTCAGGAAGAGTGTTTTCAGCTTGTTTATTTTCATATAAAAATATGGCATGCAGTTGCTTGAAACAATGGTATAAAGCTATTCAAAACATCATTCAATGTAAATTGTGATAATTGTAATTAATAATCGCAATTACAATGTCAAGGGAATAATCAACCATTAGGATTTTTGTCATAATCACGCAGCCTTATCATGTAGCCACTAAAGACTTACTTTTTTATGTATTACGATTGAAAATGATTGAATGATATGATTGAATAAATACATGAATCCAAAAAAGGATCATTCAAAATCACCATGAAGTCCATTATTTATTGTTTTATTTTAATTATTTATACATTATTTTTGTATTAAAATTAATAATTAAATTAAACATAAAAATATAGCTAAAATGGCAAATTAATTTAAATACAAAAAATAAAATAGGATTAAAAGGGCAATTTATAAGTTGTATTTATTAATTTAATTAAATAAAACAATTAACTAATAATATGGCGAAAAATGGCAAATTGAAAGTTTTTTTGTTTTAAAAATGTAATTAATTAGTATTAGTTTTTTTTTTAAATTAAATTTGGCTAAAAAGTACAATTGTGTGCTACCACCTAGGATGGAATCTAATGTCCAAGATTGAGGGGACCAAAAAAAACAAAAAAACATAATGTTGAACCACTAATATGAATATATGCAAGAACGCTTTCTTATAATACAAACCTACATAGATTTTGATCATCTCTCTACAAAGTGGCAATAAGATTTCATAAAAACAGTACAAGAGCCTGTTCCTGGCAGCCTACCTTTCAGCGATGAGTTTCTTGGTGTCTTCCCAGGTGGTCTGAAGGAAGTTGATTTCCCTTAGTACTTCTCCACCTAGCTCAGCGTCTCTGTGGGCCAGCTGTTGACCTTTGTCCCTGAGCCACTGCTCCTCATGCTGGTGGGACTGGAGCTCATCTTCCAGTTGATTAAAGAGCCGAAGCCTACGCACACCACAAATTCAATAAACACAGCTCAACTGATAATTACAAACAACCCTGTTGAACAGGGTAATCCATACCTCTGCTGTAGAGTAAGCACACTGGGCTCTTTCAGGCCCTGTTTATCTGCCTTCTCCTCGATATCCTCCACTGTTTTGAGCAGCTGCTCTTTCCGCTGTCTGAACGAGCTCCAAAGAGCACCGAGAGCCTCAGCTTCACTTTGTTTGGAGCCCAGAAGGTTCCTCACAGCGTCCAGCTCCACGCTTAAGGAGTCGGCCAATGAGCGGCACGACGACCGAGTCACCTTTCCATTCATCAGGTGGAGATGAGCCTTACAGAGGCTGCTATCCAGATTCACAGCGAGCGTTTCAAGGCGACTGATATCAGGAACAACAGCTTCGAGGTCTTTCTGCAGCTCGTCCACCCGGCTTTTATCCCAACTCCCAGCGCTCTCCACGGTCTGTCTGAGGCCTTGAAGGACGCCGGCCGCCACACTGTGGGTGTGTAGGAAGGCCTCTAGCTTCTCCAGACTCTCACCTCGTAGTTCAACCAGCTGATGGGCCTCCATGTATGGCTGTAAGGAGCTCTCCCACCTTCCCTGAAGCTGCTGGACCTCAGCCGGCTCACAAACATCACACAAGGTCTTAGTCTGCTGTTGAAGGCTTTGTCTTAGGAGACTTTGCTTCAGCAGATCATCTCTCCTCTCCTGGTGGGAAAAATTATAAAATGATACCGCATTGTAAAACTGCAAATTTCTCTTCCTGGCCATAAATAATGTAGCGTCTGCGTAGGATCATGCTGGAGTGTTGGACTGT